TCATAACTAAGTATTTACATGATGATGCTGTATGGGTGTAAGATTCTGGTTTAACACCTAATACTTACAGGGTAGGGATCAATACTTCAAATTTTGAAGCAGGAGGAAATAGGTGTGAGGAAGCAACCATAGCAGTTATCAGAAAAACAGCAGTTTTATCTTTGTGGTTTTCCCATATTTATTTCCAGTATCAGATAACTATGTTCTTATGCCCAGGAGACAGCATGCAGTGGGGGGAGGGAAGGAAATTTTAAATACATTCAATTTTAGAATTTTGCATATAGATGGTGAGGACAGATGCCAATGATGTCACTATGATAGAAAAAAAATGTATGTTTTCTTTTTAGAAGCAATTTTAGTGTCTTTTATTCCTCTTGTAGTTATAGTATGATACCTTCTTATAACTTTTACTGAAATGAAGCTTAGTAAAACATTTTTGTCAACATTATATAGTCATGGAATTAAGAACATTTACTTACTTTGTTAAAGCTAATTTCAGATTATTTTCATTATTATTTTTATCATTTACTTTTATCAGAATTAAGTCAAACCAAACCTTATTCTTCTCTGTCTCAGCAGATAGTTTGGACTTGCTTACATGCTCTAAATGAAGGTTTTTAAAACTGATACTAATTTGGACTTTTAGTATATGGTTAAAACAGAAAGATTTTCTGTGTTGTTCCAGCAATCTCAGCAGCAAGCTCATGGAAGGCAGTGAGGGGCAAATTCTGTGGAGCTTGTTATACTTGAAAGAGCAAAAGCAGAAGAAGGAAGTGGATTTGCACAGATACCTAAAATATATTTTATTCTAGAGAAATAAAAACTGCAGTTTTTGGAATACAAATTCCTTCTGGGGCTGTGTCATTTTCCAGTGCAAATAAAAGTGAAGTTGTGGCATGCAGCAAACATAGTTATGTTAATGACAGAAATCTTTTGTTCAGTATTTCTACAAAAGCTAGATCTGGCAGATGCTGTCACATAACTATGTAAATAGTATTGATTTATTTAATTTTTTTTTTCTTAACTGAGCTTTGCTTTTAATTCTGCATTAATTTGTATGAGAAAGGTCTTTTTGGCAGCAGCTATGCAACGAGCTCAGATATAAGGAAAAGCTCCAGTTCAGTAGGGTTAAAACATGTTTCTATGCTTTACAATGTTAGTAACTTGAAAATTTATTCCAGAAAGTCTCAGAAATCTCAAAAATCATTTTGTGGTTTTAAGCATCTTTGGAAGTTGTCACTTTAAAACAAATCTGTTTTATAGTGAGTGGCCAAGTCTTTTGTGCTTTTTGTGGCTGAATATTAAATTCCCACTGATGGACCATGATTCCTAATAGAAACGAAAGAAATTTTCTAGCTGCTGTACTACTGTCAGAGACCTCGGTAGGTTACCTGAGGAGAGCTCTGCAGTGTGTTGTATTTGAAATCAATGTGTCTCATTCAGAGCAGAAGTTAGGAGACCTGTCTAAAATGTGCCAAAATGTGATGTAATTGGTGACAGGCCAGCATTGTGGCATGGGAACCAATTTTTATTCTGCTTTCAGACTGGTATAACAATTGCTTAAAACATTGTGGTTCTGATTATAGCAATGGCTGTTGTAATATTTCTGTGTAGAAGACAAATGGAGATGTTTTGCCTCAGCAGCTCTCCAGGCAGCAGCACTGTTGGTGCTACAGGGGCTGCTCTCCCCTGAGCACGTTGCCATTGCCTCCCCTGCAATGTATGCAGCCACTTCCCTTTTGCAGCAATTTTCTTTCTGAGCACCAGTTCTCCTACTCAGTGTCAAAACCTTGGTTGCCAAGAGCATTTGCACAGACTTCTACTTGGAGGACTTAGTCCAAAGCTTTCAGTAGCCAGGATGACTTTTTCCCAGTGCTGTAACATCCAAAGGAATTGAGCTTTAAATGCCCAGTGTCATTTGTGCTCAGTGGATTTCAGTGGGAGAAAGGCACTGAGCTCTCCGGTGGCAGCTGCTTGTGAGACACCACCCCACAGCCCTGCTCTCAGATGTCTCTGTTCTCTTTCTCTGAGGAAAATAACCATCTTTACCAGTAGATGTCCCTTGCCTTTTTGTTCCATCAGAGGTATACGAGCAGGAAAACTAATAACTGACCCTTTCTTCAGGTATCAGTTTCACTGCTAACAGTTACAAAATAAAAGTCCTGGAGGTCAATCTTTTTTGACCAGAAATGGTAGATAAACCAGAAAATGTATCAAGAAACTACAGTATTTTTAAAGCAAGGTTTAAAACACCCAAATAGAGCTCTAGCATATGGCTCTATGTCTGTGCACCCCAAACAGCAGTGGAGAGATTTAGCTGATAACTTTTTATTTCTGTGTTAGCAGCAGTGATGTAAATACAAATGGTAAATATAAGTAGTTTAATAAAGCATTTCAGTAGACAGACCTGGAGCCCACACGTTTTTCTTCAAAAGACCAAACTAAATCAAATAACTTTCTAAAAAGAGATTTCTCATCCTTTCATACCTTTGATGAGAAGGATAGATCAAAGGATTCAACTTCAAATGACAGAGTGTCCACCTTCTGATGGCACTTGTGTGAAACACAGCATAGGAGAGGCATTAATGTATTTCTTTAGACATTCTGGTGGTTTATGAGCCAGGCTTACTATAAACTTAGGGCCTGTTGTACAGTGCCCTTCCTTTCTTCTTCACTGCAATTGCTGTGATGGGAATGGATTAGCATAGAGTGGTTTGAAAATCTGCCCTGGGTCTGATATTCACCTGTGCATTTTTCTATACATGCGAAATATTCATAGCCAAAAAATGGGCCAGAACGTCAGGCCAAGTCAGGCTGTCAGTCCTCTTATCCACAGCCACCATGGAGTGCTGAGTGGTGGCAGCAGTAAAAGAGTCCATTGAGCAGCTGAAAATCAAGTGTCAAAGCAAGGTAGTGGTTGAGATGTGGGGTGTGTCCAAGGGGATCAGGGCAGGATCAGTGCACCTCAATGCAGTTCAGGAACGACTGATGTCCAGGGCTGAGCCTCAGAGAGATTCCCAGATGGGAACAGGGGTCCATCCAGGGCTTTTAGTGCAGTCAGACCCTAGAAAGTAGGTGTGGATTACCCTGCACATGTGTTCAGGCTTGGGAAGCCTCTCCTGCAGAAGATGCTCTGTGGGGTTAAGCAGTTGTCCAGAGAATGACCATCATGGCTGCTTTTCTAAAGTAGCTTTAAAAGAACATCTTTTCCCTCATAAAAATCCACCCTGTTAGACTGCTACAGGACTGTGATGTTTTGCAAAGGAAGAGTGATCTCTGTAGATGATTTTTTTTTTCCTGTGCACATCTATGGCTTAAAGTCACCGATTTACCCATGTCCTTTACTAGCCCTTTTCCAAAACATTTAGCATTTTGTGTTGTTTCCCTGATTCTGTTTCTTTCTTGCCTCGTGATTCTTTTACACTATATCATTGATCTCAAATTCTTCTTCCATCTCTGTTAATTGCACTTTACCCAGGCAAAGTTACTGATTGGAATTTCTTATCCTTGTCCAAATATTGGTGATTCTGTGAGCTCACTAAATGGATTACACATTACACGCTGCTGATAAATGCCATCACTCACAGCAGGCTGGTTTCCCAAAGTCTGTCCAGCCATAGTCACTTCATTGTGAACCTTATCCATGAGTAGTCTTTGCTCATGTCCCATCAGAGCCTGTAACTGGGGATTTTATCCTGCTGTTGTCTCATTGCTGAACAAGAAAAAATCCAGTGGGCAATTACATCCAATTAAAATGAATAAATTCCTGTCAAACTGTAGAAAAGCATCTTTTTTTCTTGATAACTATATTCTTTATTCTTTGGCAAAACTGGACATAGCATAATGTATGGGACAAGTAATTGGGCATTCATTTTTCTTAACACCAGAACAGGGTACGTGAATACTGCAGTGCCTTTGAAATGTGTGAATTAGTTGGAAAATGTGCACATTTGCACAGTATTAAAAGGTGCAGAGATCAGATTCTTTAAATCCACATTTGTTATTTATTATTTGTTGTTTTGGATGTTTCTGCATTAGAGATTGGCAGAACAGACAATAAATAAAATTAATGCAGATAGGTTGAATTGATGGCCTGAAAAAATGACAGATATAATGCACTTGGTACAGATGCAGGCTATGACATTTTTCAGGAACGATCAGCTGCATAAATTACTTCTGAAAAGTTTCTGGAAGCTCATAGTAGATTACAAGGTGAACTTGAGTTCCTGGTGTTGTATAAAAGACAAGCACTATATACAGGCACATGCTGAAGATTGCAGCTCAAAAGTCAGTCTGTTGTCTTCACTCTGGCAGCCTTATTTCTTATTACTTGTTATATCAAGTCTCTAAGTGGAAATGGCAAAAATGCAGAGCAATAAGAATAACCAGAATTAAAACGACACAGCTGTTATGGAATAATCAATCAGATCACTATAGTTTTCACCTAGAGAAGACAGAAACCCCAGTATGCAAAAGATCTATAAACATGCACAAGCCTGAAGCAAACGTAAAAGGAATCATCTCATGGGTGTGATCAAGAGGGCAGTATGTAGCAAGGTGTAGCAATAGCCATGCATTTTCAGGCTAGATGGTTGGAAAATCCTGCTAATGTTGGAGGTAATAAAGCACTGGTGACAGGCTGCAAAGTCTCTGTTTTGGGAAATCTTCTAAGAAGGAATCATATGGACATCTGTCAGACATGACAGTGATCTTGCTTGAGATTACAAGGTTGGTTTAGATTTCTGGAATTCACTGCTTTGTGATTTAGTGATTGTGATAAGGACTGAGAAGTCACTTTCCTTAGCTAGACCTGTTAATGCTTCTCTTTCTTGCTCAAAACCATGGACTTATAATAATTAATTTCTAGCTTCGGTTGCCTCCTGTTCCTTTTGTTCCCTCTCAAGTGTACTCTCAGCAGAGTTAATACCTCTTCTCCCATTTATGAACCAAGATTATGGGATAATTAATTCACTGAGAAAAATAATGAACTTTTTTTATAGGTTTATTTGAAAAGCAGTGACCTCGGAAGGTCTGTAGATGAAGTAGAACAACTCATAAGGAAACACGAGGCTTTTGAGAAGCTCCTGGCATCACAAGATGAGAAGGTAAAAAAATAAACAACAAATATTCTACCAGCTAGAATTATATGAGCTAAAATTATATATATATGCTTTTTTTTTTTTTAATTATGGTAACACTTTGAATTGGTGACAGGTATGAAATGCCTGATATGCTTGAACAAAAGATAAAATTGGGAAGCTTGGGGAAATAAGAGGCAGAGCATTGGAGAACTGTCAAAACATTCCATGCCCAAGTCCTTGCAACACACAGGAAAACCACTTTGTAAGCAGAAGTGGGGGACTTACAAGGAGAAATTAAAGCAGGCCATAATGTATTATGGATATCAGAACTTTCTGCTCTTTTCATTTAAAAAATAGTGACCTTTAAAGCAATTAAAATAGAGTAGGTATTTTACAAAATGCAGTAGATATTTTGACATTAAAGGAAGTTGTCAAATTACTTAAATGTCCATTTGGTACACAAAGATGTACCAAAGAAGCAGCTTCTCTGCACCTTTGCAATAGATCCTGAATTGCTCACCTGTGTGTAAAGGAATCTGCCTGGCTGGTGGCCACTACTGTAACTCACCAGGCTAGGGCTAAGCTTAAACCTGCAGCTATGCCTGGGTTCCCCAGAATGAGCTCCCAGGACTCTTGCCAGCTGCCTGCCTCACTGATTGCTCGTTTTGAGAGCTACATTACAACACCTGGTTTCCAGAAAGCAATAAAATCTGAGCACTCATGGACGTCATGCTTGCTCCGTGACTCCTTGCACTGGATAATCAGTGGCATAGGCATAATTAAAGGCATAACTTTAATTAATTTATGTAGCCAGGATGCACTATAGAGTCCAGTGACAGTAATGTCATAGATGTAACACAGTGCAGGGTGAGGGGCAATGCTGGTTAACTTGTCCCTGCTGTTCTTGGCTCATTACAGAAAAAAGAGAGTACTTTAACTACAAAAGGAACTTGATTTTGTTTCTTTTATACTACTTGGAAGCATAAAAGTAATTTCTTATCTGTTGCCTTGTCAGATGATGTCTCTTCAAGAACAGGCAAGCAGGTTGGAAAAGGCTGATGGACTGGAAGGTCAAAAGATTCAGCAAAAACTGAATGTTATTCATGAGAGGAAGCGTCAGATCAAGGATCTATCCCAGAGCAGGAGAGAGAAGCTGCAGACTGCCCTTCTTCTGGCACTCTTCTACCAAAACTTGGAAGAGGTAAGAGGGTTTTAGACTGGGATGGGGATGTAAAGCAGAGAAACCACCTACCTCTACTGGATGAAGTGCTCACTCTTGCCAGACATTATTGGGTGGATGGATGATCTACTCTGGTAGATTGCAACTCCTGACACACTCATGCAAAAAGATGCTCCAATGCCATTCCTGTTGCTGTACAATTGTTGTGGCATTGTGCACATGGCAGCCACTTCAGTCATCAAAAGCTCTGGTAAAATAAAACAGTTGAAAGGAAAACTGCAAGTCAATACATATTTTTCCTTTAGTAAGAAAGAAAATGTATTTCAAATCAGGATGGGCACAAAGTGCAAAGCATCATGGCCTGGGCACCAAGCTTTATTAGTGGGTGTTCATTGAAGGCCTTCAAAGCACTGCTGTGGCTCAGCAAAGCTCTTGAGCTACTGGCTCTGCAGAAGGTGCTGGTCTCTGTGTCCTGTTCTGGCCTCAGGCCTGTAACTGAGTAGCTCTGCTCTGTCACTACTGTTGGAAAGACAAACTAGGTCAGCCTTGCAAAGGGCAGCACAACATGTGTGACTGAGAACTGCACTGGCATAAACAAGAACACACAGACCCAGGGGCATTTCCAAGCACTCTTGCTGGTCTGGTATCCACCCCTTCTCCTGCTGTGTCCCATGAAAAGTGCTCAGTGGTTTACAAAACCAGAACTATACTTTTTTTTCTCTTTTTATTTTTTTTATTTTTCCTTCTTCCTTTTTCTTTTTTTTTTTCTTTTTATTTTCCTTTTAATCAAATTTAGCAGAAATCATTTATACACCAAAATATTAATTTGTATTATTTGGTTATACTTTACTATCTCACGATAGAAAAGTAATGAAAATCCACCAGTAATGGCCTGTCCACCTTTTAGACTAGCAGAGGGGATTGGATGGTGCATTGCTCAGGAGTTATAATTCCAAAAGAGCAATTTCCCAAAATCCTCTTGGTAGAGAAATTGTCAATGCCCTTCTAGAGATACAATCAAGCCATTAAGTAGGAATACTTATGCATTTCTTTCCATCAATCTGTACTTGTTAAATCAGTGCTTGGGCTGTGGTCCCCCTTCATTCTTGAATCTGTTTTTCCCTGTTCTCATCCACTTTCTCCACATAAATTCAGCCAGGAGTTCTTTAGATAGTTTTTGTTCTTGGGTTATGTGCTCATTTACCTCACCAACCTAGAATCATTGCCTACTGCTGTAGAATTTGAATGTCACCAAGGCATTAAAAAACAAAAATCTTTAAAAATATTACTCAAATCAGTAATACCTTTCTTACTCTTTGGTGGATAGAATGGGATGTTTAATTTCATTTTAATTATATTCTGGGTGTGTACAAGTTCATATGTGAGAATGGTTCCCATAGGAATGTTAAATTTGGAGATGAGTTTTGAGTTTGGCTGTGAAATCGATGAGGTCATTGCTTATTCTTACTTATTAAGGGAACAAGACCCATAGCTCAGGTCCCACTATGCTGAAAACTCTCTGTCCTCCAAACATGTTGAGTAATTTCTACTGATCAAGCAGAATTTTTTGTGCCAGCAGAAATTAGTGATCACTGTCATTATTAAAATTCTTCTAGTTACTCTCTAGAAGTAATGACATGGAGAACTACACACATTAGTACAACAAACCACAATAATTAACTCAAGAGATCACCTGCAGTTTACAAAATAAAACTCACCCTTCTACAGTAGAAATTGGTGCTTTTGTCTCACTCAAAGAAGTGAGATGGACTTAGAGACTACACCATACTGCCAAAGAGTCTGTAGCTCAGTGCTAATCCAGAAGGCAAATGAGCAAGTTGCTACTTAGAAATATGTGTATTTAAGTTATTGCAGAGGGAATATTATAAAGTTAAAAGTTTTGACTTCTAAAGTTGGCTCTGGGTTTTAACACCAACTTTAAAACTTGCTCATGGTATTAGTAATATTTCTTTTCACCCTGTACATAAGAATAAAAAAAAATTACATCTTTATCTCAGGGGAATGAGAGAGAATTAGTTGCTATCTCTAGATGTCTGAATCAGACACATTCCTTTATATGCTTTACATACTTCTGTCATTAAAAAATCAGTGAAATTTGTACTCATGAGGTTACAGTAACTGATATTTTGAAAGAGTAAGTTTCTAAATTGGTAGTGCCCACATTTTTTATGACTCCCATAGAAGTCTGGTCCTGTGCCCATACTGAGCATAACACTAGCTTTTCTGTTGTCTTCAGTGAAGTGAAAATGGCTGTGCAGACAACCATGAAATCTTTCCATAGAAAGGTCTTGGGAAAACAGATCAGCTTTGCTTCATATCCAAATGTGGGCATGATGCCAGGAGAGGGTACCCTCACTCTCTAGAGCCATCTTAAATAAGCCTTAAATAAACAAAGGCACTAAGAGTGTAGATGTTCAATCTGTCATTAAAGCCACTGCTTCTAATTAAAAAGTAGGTGAGAAATCTACTTTAAAGTTACTTTATCCTGGGGGTTGGTTTGTTTTTCATTCCAATTGCATGGATGAGCCTCCATTCAAAGGAAGAGTCACTGAAGTGACACTGAAGCACGAGGGTGTGGCTGGGAATGGGAGAAGGCCATTGAGGAGGGTGTTGGAAATGCAAGAAGTACCTGTCAATGTGTAGCCCTGGGCAAGTTTGACATGGTCTGTTTGAGTCTCTAACTGGGCTTTGGAGGGAAACAATTTTGGGAGAGCATGCTGCTAGTGAAAGCTATTTCTGTTATTGTTTATGGAATCTCAGCAGCTGAAACAACATTTCAAATCATTAGTTAACAGAAAAAATCCTCCAGCTGACAAGGCTTGTGTGCATATAGTGCACAGTTCCACCAGGACAGCCAAGATATTTTGAAACTAATAAAGGTGCCCTTCAATTTGCAGCTCTTGTGTTGTCAAAACATTACATTACTTCAGCACTCTGAGGAAAACAGGATCAGTTACAACATTATGTCAAGTGTTCAGTTCCTGGTGTTTTGATGGACAGAAAATATTTCCTTCAATGCTAAGGGCTAAAGTTCAGCAGAACTTCAAGAAAATTGTGGAAACTGTGTTATCCTATTCTTCGTTTTATTCTGCACACTTTAAAATTCCCTTAAAAATAATTTCCTAAGAGAAAATCATAACTTTTGCTTTGTTAGCTCCCATAAATCACCTGCTTTTCTGAATCTGATATTCCTGACAAGACCATTTTGAATTTTATTAAGTATAAAAGCAAATACAGTTGTATTTCCTTTCAAATAATTTGACTAGTGCTTGGGCCCTGTCTGAAAATCTTTATTTGCGTTGCATTTTCCATTTAGGTCTCACCACACCACTGACATGAGGAAATGTTAGTGCTGTTTTATAGGTGAGGCACTGAATTCCAAAGAATGTTTACCAGCTTTGCAAGTACGTCAATGGCAGAGATACCAGACGAAACTTAGAGCCCTAAATCAGTCCCCAGAATCAGTTGTCATAATCTCATTTTAAATATATACCATGTTAAGGCTCAAAGATTCTCTCTACATAATCTAGAAGACTGTATAATCTGTTAATGGCTTTTGACAAAATCTGAGGTACTCAAGGAATTTTTTGTTACTCCTGTGGTCAGATAAAAATTAGTTTCATTCCTACCTGCTTTTAACAAAGTAGAATGAGTTCAGAAACTGGAGATCCACCTCAGCTGTCAGGTCCCACTCAATCTATCCAGCCCAGGTACAGACGCTTGGACAGAATAGAGACCTATCCTGGGAGGAGGTAGTTGTTGTGCTAACTCAGGTGCCTCTCACTGCTGCAGGCAGAAGATTGGATCAGTGAGCGCATGCAGAAACTGGAGGATCCTTCCATACAAGACCCCAGCAATCTGCAGGACAAGATGAAGTTGCTGCAGAAGCATCAGGTCTTTGAGGCAGAGATTCTAGCAAATGAAGAAATCATTATAGCTGTTAATAAGGTAACTCTCTCACTCTGTTACTGTTTTTACAAATAATTACTGCTCATCCAAAGACAGATTGATGATATGTGAAGGAAGAGTAGCTTGGTCATCACTTCTGCATCAATTATCCTACTGGTGTGATAAGAACCCAGTTGCTCTGCCATGGAAATGTAGCACTTAGTTTACAACAGGGAGATATTGGTTCCATTCAGGGAGCTTCCATCTTTCCTTACAGCATAGATAGGAAAATATACATTGACTTCTTCCTTGCCTGACATGGTTATTCCTACAAAAGGCAAATAGGATTTCATGCCAAATTTGTGAATATTCTTGCTGGAACTGGGTGAATCATATAGCTAAAGGGCACAGTTATCTGTAATACTTGGTGTTCCCATTCCATTAATATCTTTCTTGGCAGGGAAATATTTAAATCCCAGTTTTCTGTAATTCTAGAGTCCCTCCAGAGGGCTGTAAGAGCCTTCCAGCTGGCTTTATCATTTGGGTGATAAGAATTTATAGTAGTAATCTATTGTTCAATCCAGGTTAGGAAGGTGAAAGACTCCTTCTAGAAAGGTCATGCAACATGGTAATCCCTTTAAAAATTCGTCACAACTTTTATTTCTAATTTCTTTTTCTGAATGTGAAGAAAGGAGAAGCCCTGATATCAAAAGGCCACCCAAAATCAGGAGAGATCCGTCGCCAAGTCCGCATGCTTCAGGAGCACTGGGAGAAGTTGAAGAGAGCTGTTGCTGCTCGTGGGAAGATGCTGGAGGACAGTCGGGACTTCCTAGAATTTCTCCAGAAGGTGGACCAAGTGGAAGCCTGGATCAGGGAGAAGGCAAGTGGATTTTACTATTTAACCCAAGCAGCTCACTAAAGACTTGCTATATAGCAATGACATTCTGATAAATGTGTCATCTTCCAGGATATTCACCTAGTGATTTTTTTCTGTAAGAATCATGACATATTCTACAAAATATGTGAAAGGAATGACTGAACAAATTCTATAGAGTCTGTCCATACCAGAGTCAATTGGACAGTATTAGCACATTTTCTCATGTAAACATGAAGAGTTTGCGATTATTTGGGGCCATCTCATGTGTATCTACTGGGACAGAGAAATGAAAGCAGATTAGAATGGAAGAGACTTGAAGTGTTTGGCAGCTGGCCTTCACTCTAATTGTATATCAAATCTGAAAGTTTCTCTTTGTAGGAATGAAGAATCACTTTCATTCAGAGGTTGTTTCCATAGCCAGTAATAAATGGAAAAGGGAATTGGGACCAAGTCTCATAATTATCTAAAGATCAGAAGAGACTATTTCAGAAGCCATAGGTCGGTGATTTATAGACATATCACAGAACTTATTGGATCAGGATAAGCATTGGGAGTTGCTGTGTTCTTGTAGTCTTCACCTAAATATTTGTTCACTGCTTATTTCCCCAGGAGGTCATGATTAATGTAGGTGATGTGGGAAATGATTATGAACACTGCCTGCAGCTCAAGAAAAAGCTGAATGAGTTCCGTGGAGCAACATCAGGGGTAAGAGGTGCTTTTCATGCTCATGTCTTGCAAGGCTGCAAGCAGCAGGTAACTTTTCAGTCCAGTTAGCAAATACAATTCCAGTGCTCTGAGGAGGTGTAAGACCAAAGTGATAGGAAGTATCTCTACCTCAAAAGTCACTTAAAAAGACAGAATTTTCTCTTTTTATGCCTTCTGCTTTGAAGATGTCTAGGCAGAGCTGTCAGGCAGTCATGACACAGCATAACATTTCAGACTGCATTAAATGCCTGGAAAACTTGCTGTGTGAGCCTGAATTTGAGCAGATTTTGCTTGGTTCATGCAGTCTGCAAAGTCACAATTATGTCCACCCAAGAGTAGTTTAAAAATTGTTGTTTCAGCCATGCTTATTTGAATCAGAGAACTGATCTAGACCTTCCATGAACAAGCCTGTAAAAAAAGAATACTGTTTTCTCTGTTTCTATCCTTTATTTCTCAATTTTTCTCCTTCTGAGTAATGGTCTCATTTTCATACTCCTTCATTCAAATTAAGCACGTAAATCTGGGGGCCTCTGTTTATACAGCACATGTGGTTACTCATGAATCATAACATTAATAACCAGACATTCAGTAAAACAGAGCAATGGTTTACACTTTGGATAACAGCCATGTGACAAGACCGCTGCACTCTTCACCTCTCCATGCTGAGCTCTCTGTCCCTCTTTCATGGTGCCGAGTCAGGCCAGTGCCTCTCCTGCCCCAGTGAGGTGTGCCAACTTAGGCACCAAACCTGGGGCGCCGGGGCCCCCCTGTTGTGTGTTCAGCTCCCACCACGAGAGCTGCAATGCCATATATTGAGGGGATGCATTTGCAACAACCTCTTGCTCTCTCTGCCTGTGTGAACTTCTGCAGATGAAGGCTGAGGTGTGTGTGTCACACAGGAAAGATTACTGTGCTGATTTGCTAGTCTGGAAATTGAGGGAGACGTCTGGAAAGAGATGTGTAATGAATTTGTGAGTGATATTTAATGTAGTCTCCTAATATTCTTCATCCTTTGTTTGCCTGTTATCTTTTTGCTGATTCTTGTTATGGCAGCTCCTGTCTTCTACTTTTGTTGCCTAGTAGCAGAAGGAGACAATCCTCTTCTATGCAAAGTAGTAGTGTAGATATGCCTGACACCAGGGAGAAACCCCTGAGCTCCCTATTCCAGAGCCCAGCAGAATTTCGTGCCAGTGCATTCACACTGGATTTGGACAGAGAGCCTAATTATTTGGCTTCAGCACCAGGGAATTAGTAAATTGAAGAGACATTCATTTTATTGACCAGCTGACTATGAGCTAAGGGAATTGAGCAAGGGCTCTCCTACAGCTCGTACCAGCCATAAAAAGGATGATTAATAGGGCAGAAACAACCCAGTGTTCCAGCCAGCATAAGCCTCTGAATAGGAAAGTTTTTCCGTAAACTGAGGTAGATTTTATGTGCCGCTCTTGAAACTCTTGGTTAGATAGTATCAGCTTGTAGCCACTGCTCCCGTAACACTCTGAACATGACTCCTGCAGATAAAAAGCTGGGAGAATTATGCAGTTATGCCCTGATAGCTGATGCTCAGTTATGCAGTGCTTCCTAGGGTGATACAAAGAGAAGGAGGCTGCTTCTGGCACAGTGTGTGCATCCATCCATGCTGGGTTTTCCCACTAGAAAAATCTGATATCAGGGTAGGGAATAATCATCCTGCATTGATGGCTGCCAGACTTTCGATTCATTGTGCTGTTATTACAGGAGGCTGCAGGGTTTCTGAAGACTATCTGACTGTCTGCTGGTTTCTCTAGTTTACTTTATGGCTGTGCATAGTAGGAAAGTACATGTGGAATCATGCACATTGGTATGGATGCAGCATAAACAAAATACACAATGCAGTGAATACTTTAAAGTGCATCTTGCAGCTGTGCTTCTCTATACCAGTGATTGTCTCCCTGCTAAACTTGTGATTTATTTGTCCTAGAAAAATAAATGTTTTTGTATCTTGGAGCAGTGTTCAGCCATCTGTAGTACTCCAATATGAAAATTATCCCACTGTACTCTAGATTATATGGGCAATGTGCAAATATTACCCATTCTATGGTACATGCATGGGAAGCAAGTCTCCTAGAAGACTTAGCCTTAGAAGAAAATAGAGTGGCACAGGTTGTCTGGGATTCTCAAGGCTGTATGGATTTTGAGCTTATTGTCTACAGTACAGAAGGCACTCTGGGACAGGAGCTCACCTAGGTAAAACAGTCAGTAGGCCCAGGAGCCCTTGAGTCACTACCTGTCTGACAGAGGGACAATCTGCCACATATCAGCTGTTCCACTGTGTAACCAGCAACTGCATCTGTCTTTCTTCACCAAATGAACCCCTGCTGGAATATCTGCCTTAGAAATGAATGTCTGAGGGTCTGAGGGCCATCACCTAAACCAAGATCATTGTTGCATCTAGAGCCATTAATGTTCTTTCTTGCCTTTACTGTCTAATCATCAGGCACATGGTAACACCAGTGCTTGTAGTAGAGCAAACTCTGTGTGTCTGAAATGTTAGTGGAGTAAAACCCTTTCTTGTTGCTGCTTGTGTTGATTTTCACATCTCAGTGCAAAGCTGGGTCACAAGCAATTTGAACAAGGACCTTTGTTTCCTTTCTCACTTTACAGGAGTCAACAGTGGATGATGCTCACATCAGGACTATCAATGCCCTGGCCATGAAACTGGAGAGACAGAACAAGGAAGAAACAAAGACGATCTATGAGCGCCGAAAGCAGCTCAATGAGAAGTGAGTATGCTTTCAAATGTTCCATGTAAAGCAAAAACAAGAAGGGAAAATTAGGTGTTTTCTTCTGAGATAAATGGAGGAATTGGAACATTTGTTTTCTTCTTTAATATCACAACTACCAAATATCAGACACTGGAGTTGTCTTTCAATACTCCCAGAGCGGGAGTAGAAGAGGGAGTAGCTTAGAAGGATTTTTAATCCAGAAGTGCCAAAGTCATGTTTCTAGCCTTGGAGTCAAATACTGTTTCACATCACTTGGCACACAAGATGCATGAAGCTTAGGCACTTCCATCGATTCACACAGTTGTCCTGGTGAATTGCCTTGTGCTTTTGCTTCTCCACAGCCCACTGTCTAAGAAACAAAAGCATGACAATATTGATTGTGAGATTACTGAGCATTTAGGGAAACTGGATCAGTACTTTTTAGCTTTTAAACCCCATGCCATCCTGGAGACATGGAATAACTACAACCAGATAGTCTTCTCAGGCTAATGCTTTATCCCTGTGATGAGAATTGGGAGATCAATATATGAGGTAGTTAAGAAAAACTTTTGGTTTTGTTTAAATATGAGCATCATGAAACTCAGTTGTGGAAATCCTTACCTCTGAAATGCATCTCTAAAATATTATTTCCAATTAAAGGTGGAACAGTTTTCATGGTAACCTGAATGCATACAGGAAGAAGTTAGAGGGAGCCCTAGAGATTCATGCCTTAATCAGAGAAATAGATGATATCACAGAAAGAATTACTGAGAAGGTAAGGTTTCCAATTTTGATTAAGTGAAATGGAAAAATGCTCTATCAATCTTATTCATTCAGAAAATAGAGGGTAAAATGCTGATCCTGAATTATAATTTTCATATTAACAGAAAAAAAGGTTATATAAAAACCAATTATTTAATCAATGTAAGTAATTATATTTATTTCATTATAAGTCAGTAGAGAAGTGGCACTACTTAAGGTTACAAGACTTTTGGCTTGATATTTTCATAACAACTTCTAAAATGTATTTCTTCATTTTATGGGATTTAATTTCTTAGGATCCCAAGGATACATTTTATTTTTTTATTTTCATAACACACCTGAATTTCTGTGCAACAATTTATTGGGAAATAGTTTTTTCTGTTTGGTATATGGAAAAAAAATAAAAAAACAGAAAAGTAACATTGAGAAATGTAAGGAGGCATGCCTGTCTTTGTTTATGGCCAGAGGCACCTTAAGCAGGATTATGAGTGTTCAAAGAGATGTGGATTCTTGTTTCATCTCTGTAAAGAGAGCAGACAATTTGCTCTTTTGATATTTAAAAAGACAAAACATTTAGGTGGCAATGCAAAGAGGTGAAGGAGGAGGCTTTTTTAAATAAAGATACATATCCTTTTGCTTGGTGTTATCTTCACCATTTCCACATCCCATTGCCCTCTCCAGAGTGTATTGATACAAGCACTGGATTATGGAAAAGATGTGGAAAGTGTGGAAAACCTGATTCGAAGACATGAAGAAATGGAGAGAGAAATCAGCGTTATTAAGTCCAAAATTGAGGTAAAAAGTAGGGAAGTACAAAGGATATTGAAAAAATTTCACTTTTTCTTCTTGAAAATATGGTGCAAAAATCATTGTTACTCTTCAGATTGATTTGCAGGAATTTTCAGCAATGCAAGTGCAGCATAAATTGCTTCTCATGAAAATGTTGTGCTGCTTAATCTTATCAAATATTATTCTTCCTGATGCAAAAAATCTAAGAAGAAAAGTCCCTTTTTAACATCTGGGTCTCTGGCCCTCACCTACAAGCCAGATCAGACTGTCCTATACATTTTGGAAAGCATGGACTCCATCTTCCTCCAGTTCATGTACTCAGCTGAACCAAAATCACAATTTTAATTTCTCTTCAGAACTTAAATACAAACCCCATACTGCATGTAGTTTCCTGACACAGACATCAAACACAGAAATTCTAGGTTATAATTGCCTGCCTGATCCACTCTGGCTTCTGTAAAAACTGGTCAGTTTGCATCACCTAGGACTAAATTAAACTGAGCATTTAATATGGGTCTAAGCTCATTTATATTTGTATATTTTTACTAAAAAATATATATCCTGTTGAACAGTAGTAGAAATCCAATTACAATCTCTCACATTTTTTCACCATTAGCCCTTTCATATAGAAAATATGAAAAACTTTTTCTTTACAATAGTATAATAACTTTACTTTTTTTAAGGATTAAAACCAGCCTGGCATATTTTCTGTTCTGCATAATTAAAATTCTTCATTTTCAACAACTTGATGGAGTTTTGCAACTAAGTTTTCAACTTTAAACCTGAGTTGATGAGTGTTCATCAGACTGCTAGTAGAAATTAGAATTAGCAGTTCATTTTCTTATCTATTTGTCCATATTCTGCAAAAATGTTTTCTAAATTGTCAGTTAGCTTTTGTGCATGCAAAGCAATGCATGGATGTGGATGTTTGTTCACAAATGCATGTCTATTAGTTTTTGCATAATACATATCCCTTTGCATACTTTGTTACTATAATTTAATTACCTGCCTTTGAGAGTTGGGGTCTTAAAATGACCTATTTTTCCTGAAAGGCAAACTTAGGAATGAATATAAGTATTTGGCATAAATTTACCCCACTATAAATCTCTTCCCAGCCACTGGAACTGGAATCTTTCCGCCTCTCCACAAGGAATCCATCCATAAATGACAAACTGACTGTGAAGCAACAGGAGATGAAAAACAACTGGCTACGACTCCAGGGACAGGCCAAACAAAGGTGGAGACTTAGAGTTGTTTGAGTATCTCTCAGAAGGAGCAAAGCTGCTCCCAAACTCTACTTGCCAGAGGTCTTTTAAAGTTTCTTAAGGGTTTTTCACAGATTTAACATAGGCAGCTATGACACCTGCATTGGAAAAAGTGTGACTTGATACACAAGAAGTTCCACTGGTGTGACTTTGGGAAAACTAATACAATGGTTTTTTGGTTTATCCCATTAAATAATGCTATTAAAATGCCTCCAGACTATCAAAGTAAACTATCATAAAGCCCTTGTGAAAGACTTCTTTTTGGATGGTTCTTGAAGATTTTTTTTCTCAAATCTTTCCAAAACAAGAAATGCTTAATCCTGATCTGTAATAATTGCTGCAAGCAACAGATATGAAGGCTTTTTTACCTTTCTTGTGCTAATGAACTGATGTTGAAATATTAGTAATTATGTTGTCTCCAAGGCAGTGTGCATCTCCTGTGGTTTTGGTTAACATAAGGGAAAGCTTGAATTCATTTCATTTGGCTTCTGTTAAGATACTTTCCTCTGCAAATGGGGAGGGAGAGGTAACTAGATCATTCCATGTCAGATGATGCTGACCTGCACCTTGTGTGGCAGGAAGGAGAAGCTGGAAGCCTCGTACCAGTTGCAGAAATTTAACTTGGAGATGAAGGAGATACTAGACTGGGCCCAAAACACCAGAGCTTTAATGGAAGCAGGGGCGCTGCCTAAAAGCGCCAATGAAGCCGAAAGCATGATAGAGGAGCATCAGGAGAGAAAGGCAAGTACCTTCCGTGGCTCCAGTTGCACATACTGGGAATCTTTCTGTGTGCACAGCATACCTCTGTCAATAACATGGTAAAAACCTGTTTTCAGTACCAGGGTGGGGAGAGAAATCACCTACATACTGACAAAACTGTCCCATGGGCTGTTTGGCACCTTGTGTCTTTCAAAGAGCTCTCACCTCTACTGCTGTTCAAGCCTGATAGTGAAAAATAGGTTCAGTCTCACATCATGCTCACTGCTCATCTCTTTGTTCATATTGCTAAAGAAGTTAATGCCAGTTAATCCTTGCTTCGAGCTAGATTTTGTCATGAGAACTTAAATTATGTGAGAAGAAAATAAAATCAGCAGTTTGTTTCACACAGCAAAGCAAATTATCAATGAATGGTGCTACACATTCAGTTCTGAAACACTTCATATCCCAGTAATAATTACCTTGCTAATGTTTTGGTGGCTAATTTGGTTAATACTTTTGGTTTCTTTTCTGAAAGGAGTGAGATTTTAATTCACATTAGGAAAAAAGCCAATATTTTACTTTTTCCCAAGGATCATAGCTATCTTTCACCTGTTGTGCTACCTTCTCTTTGCAGTTTCTTTAATTATTCTGTGAACGGGATTTTTAGAAATACTGATACCCAGTACTTTGTGGGTCCCCTTACACAAACAGTTTGTAGATTCTGATTAATTTCATAAACCTGAATTTAATGTGAAGCACCTGAAATCCCCTTCTTTTTTAGAGTCATCCATTTTAACAATGCTTTCTCATATCACTTAACAATGTTTTTGTTAATAATTCTTTGTCATATTAGAAATATCACAAACCACTGATGTAGTGTGCTCCAAATTTAAATGGTGGCAAGATCTAAGTCTTTAATATCTGCTGGTCAAGAAGCCCAGATGGCTCTAAGGAGACAGTTGCAGAGAAAAGGAGGAATTCAGGCACTATGTTCTTATGCTGAATAAACTAAAATTATAGACAAGGCAAAAAGGAGGGTTTTTTTCATTCTGGTTAGTGGCTCAAACCAAAGTCCTTAGGAGAGATTGGAGTTGAACTGTGTGAATTTCAAAAATATTTGAATTACAATTTTATAGATGTGTTATCTATGAATGGGCAACACCACCACCCTAAAAATCTCTAAAAGCAGCAGCTCTAATTTCAGAAATTAAATAGAACATACCATTGTGTTTAAGGTAGTTTATGAGTTAATACGTGGTATTATTTCATTCCATAGTTATTTTCATTTTCAAATTGCTTACATTAGAAATTCTACATTCAATTTGCAGGGATCATAATTGCTGTTTATGCTTTCACTTTAAGGATTGAGTATAGGGGTATAATTCATTCCTCAGACCAGATGCAAAAGTTAAATGTGTTTCATTTTAACAACACAAAATGAAATAAAACCATGCCTTTAACATAAAAATCTGAAGCACACTTCTTTGCTGGAAGAGGAAAAATTCTAGGCACTGTTTCTTAAAAGGAACACTTTTATGCAGGAAGACTGGGGATGATGTTATAGATGTTTGAAATTGTGTTCATTTATATCTCAGCATTTTCTAATGTGTTTCTAACTAAATCTCAATTTTCATTGTAGGAAAACAGTTGTTCCTGGACCAATAAAGTAATCTATTATTTACATTTACTCTCTCTTAGGCAAGTCCATGCCCTTCCAGTAACATAGCTCAAAGATGAATGATTTTCCATGCAAATATTAGTGCTGGAAAGTTATAGCCCAAACTCTTCCCCTTACGGCTTGTATTCTGAATAACTGGCTTTTCATAAACCCTTGACATCAACCTTAGCAATGTATTTTAGGAGGAGATTGAAGCCCGAGTGGAAAGATTCAATGCTCTCAGTGACTATGGTAAAGAACTTGGCAATTCTGGTCACTATGCAACCCCTGAGATTCGCCAGTCCCTCTCCAGACTACAGCAAGCCTGGTCTGAACTGATCCAAGCATGGAAAGAGCAATATATAAAATTGTTTCAGGCACAAGATTTACAGGTGAGTAAAATGACATTTAAGAGAGAATGCACATGCCACTGACAGTTTTTCTTGATGTAAATAGCAAATTTATGAGATGGTAGAATGAAAGATAATAATATCCATTGTTTCATCTATATTTCACTGGTTTCTGGAAGGCATGCTGAGGGCCAAGCACAATGGTGACAGGACTTTGTGAAATTTTACCTCTACAAATCATAGTAATTTCTGTGGAATAGGTGCTAATATGTTTTTCGAAGACTGTAAAACTTTGTCAAACTCTCATACATCTGGAAAAAGACACATACTTATAACACAACATCACTATTCTTCCAAATTCTATAACCTGCCCAAAAAGGCATGGAGCCAGACAAGTATTTTTTAAAAACTGAAGAAAAATTTAGCATGGATGGAATAGTGTATCTTTTCCTGGCTTTTTTTCCTAATAAAATAACTATTTTGGCTGCAGTTTTCTAGAAATACTTCCCTGTAACAGTCAACTCACTTTAAACATTTCTGCTCAAACAGAGATTCTACAATGAAGAATGTCAAATACTTTAAATAAGAGCTGGGCTACTAGCCCCATCTAAAATCATCACATATATGAGAACTTAAATCTTATGGTATGGGCAGTTTCAGTGCTTTTTCATGTATTATGTTAATTTTTGAAATAAACATGAAAGTTTGTTTTTTTTTCAATGTACTCTGCTGAAGTTCAGGTTAGCTTCTGCTTTACAGCATTTCAGCATATTGTCCTGTTTGTGACTGTTGGATTTTTTCCCTACACAGAAATTCTATGGCTATGTGGAACAGATTGAGAGCTGGCTCAGCAGCAAAGAGGCCTTCCTAGCTAATGAGGACTTAGGGGTATGTGCTCTGAGAAATTACAATTTTCTCTGCAATTGGTCTGGAGAAGGGGCAATGATGTACAATGATGTGCTCTGAATCTTCCTGTGCTCTTTTTCCTCCTGAAGTTACTGCTCTGCCCTGTTGGTGCTTTAGGATCAGATTTCTTTCCTTGGTACTTTACACAGAGTGGGAATCTCAGCCATAGGAGTAATGGAACAATCCAACTGCTCTGAGTGGAGCAGGAAAATGAGACTGTATAGAAACATGAACTCTGGTATTGTTTGGGTTGGAAGGGACCTGAAAGACCACCCATTTCCAACTCCCTGCTATGGGTGGGGACACCTTCCACCAGCCCAGGTTGCTCAATGGCCTGTTCAGCCTGGCTTGTTTTATCAGAGCCAAACACATTTGCCAGCAATGTACAAGTCATCACTGCTGTCACTGCTGGCATACCCAGTGTAGCTTTAAATTACCTACCACAGATATCAGTAACGCTGCAATAGGTGAAACTGCAGAGTGATGCATGAGCTGCAGAAGCTGTTCAGGATGCTGAATATACATTCTGACACTTAGCTCACCCTACACCTTGTATATGTAGTGCTACTAAATTAGTTGTCTCTGCAGGGGCTACAAAAACATCTCAGAGTTTGGTCCATTTGCAGTCCCTTCATTGCAGCATATAAGACTTAGAAGGACTCATCCAATCATATTTAGCTCAGAAATGTGTAGAAAATGCTCTGTGAGTAATTTCCCATCCAATGACTCATGTAAGCACCCAGAAGTTTAGTGGGTTTTTTTCTGATCTGTTTGATGTGAGCTTATTGCTTCCTTTAGAATAGTGGAGAAGCAGAGTTTACTGGGACAACAACATTTTGACACCACTGGTTCTATAATTAAGGTGCTGAGGGTGCTGAAAGGAGAACTCTGAGTCATTAATCTTGGGATTCACAAACATTACAAGACGTGTTTCTCTGCAGATTAACTGTAATGTCAGACTCCAATCCTCAAATTCAAATCTGGATCTGAGCTCTTCCAAATTCCATGAGTTGAAACTGAGGCTGTAATTTTAACCTCTTTCTGTGACATATTTGTTCACGTAACTCTGATTTCAGTTTGGCATCCCACGTTTACTTTCAACATGGCATCTGTCTAAAGATTGATTTAAAATTAGGGGCTGATGTTTCAATTCCTGAGAAATTATGTGTTCTAAGCAGCGTAACAATATGCACAAGAAGCTAAGCATCCAGCACTGAAATAATGGCCTCAGACCTTGCATGCACCATTATTTATGTCCCAAGTGTCAGATCAATGCCAGTCAATTCAAAAGAACCAATAAATTTTCTTGACAGCTAGTTTGCAAATGTGGGGTAAATGCCATTTACTTCTGGATTATCAGTGCTTTGGATGGAAAAACTTTGACTGAAAGCAGCTTCCCTTTGTTGATTCCTATCCAGGACTCAGTGTCTAGTGTGGAGAGCCTGCAGCGGAAACACACACAGTTTGAAAAAGCCCTGGAAGCTCAGATGGAGAAAATCGATGAGATGGCTTCATTTGCTCAGCAGCTAACACAGAACAAGCATTATGACTCAGAAAATATCAGCAGCAGATGCCAAGCTGTTCTGAGGAGGTGAAGTCAAATCCTTCTCATGTCAGCCACCAATCTCGTCTGCAATGAGACCCTCCTCCTGTGATCATTATCTTTAAATTGATTAACAGAACTATAAACTGGTTTGCATTTGCTCAACTTCATGCTTTGCACTGGGGGCCTCCCAAATTTGCTGTATTTAATTAGTAGGCTTCCAAAATGCAATTAAGTGGAGGGGGGAGCAGGATTAAGAAAAAGGCAATTTCTGTTTAATTCTGTATTCTGGCCTGGCCTTGGGGACCGTGCTGCAAACAGAAGGCCTGCCACACCCTTAAATACTCCATCATTAAATACCATCAAGAAAGGTCATTTCCTAGACAACTGCTTTTCTCTGCTCTAATGGGGTTGATCTTTAAGCCCTACTCAAATTATCCATTAGGGCATTTGCAAATTTTCTGACCAGATTTTGGCCTTTCATGTGAATTACTTTATTGCTACTAGCAATTTGTATATTGTTCATCTTAAACAAGTGCTGAAATAAAAGCAGTTGTATTCACTGCTGTGGTAGAAGAAAAGAGCTACATAGAAGTTATGAAAAGAGACTGGAGGTCCCTTTAATTCAAGTGAACATACTGATGTTAATATTGTCTAATTTGATACGATCTATTAATACCTCACATCTGCATTAACACGAATAAAGTGCTGCATGTCCAAAATTGGAAAAAAAAATTAAAGGATAGTGTAGCTTTAGTTTATCCATCACCATCACATTTGCAGGATTTCCATAAGAAATGTGCTGAGTTTATGTTCTCTTGAACCCTGAAAGGCAATAATGGTGATTTCTAGAGGCAGATCCCATATACACAGAATTTGTGGGCAGTTTAAACATATCTATCAGTTTCCAAGCTTTCCTACAGTGTCCTGGGCATCTCCTCTGACAGCCCAGATCAAGGGAATCTGTTTATTATGGACATTTCCCTCCTAGGGAATGGAGTATTAGATCACGTTTCAGAGGTGAAATTTGAAAATGCTGATCTATATAATTCACTCTGAGACTTTTACCTCACACATCTGTCTTCATCTCAGAAAAAAGAGACTGCTGGAGAATGCTGCTGCTCGCAGACATTTGCTAGAGGAATCAAGGCTTCTGCAGAAGTTCCTGAAGAATTCTTTTGAGGTATGATTACACAGGATTCATAATATTCTGGTTTCTTAAAACATGCTGTGCTGCATAGATTGGAATCCCCAGACAGATTTACTGTGAGGAAAATGAAGGAACTGAGCCTCGAAGTGAGATAATATTGGGAAAGATAAGGATAAAAATGAAGGGATATTTTTTTCTTCTTCTCTCTAGTCGAGTGTAGTAAACAAAAGATCTACTGTATGTTGGACAACAGCAAAACGCAGAAGAAATAAATGCATTTAAAGGGAATGTGCCACCAATAATAAAGAAAAAAAAAGAAGACGAAAAAAATCAGGTTTTTTTTGTGAGATACCAACAATAGGTTAGAAATAGGGAGATCATTGTCTATGCTCCCCTTGCACACATGTGCCCATGCATTTTCTCACTGCATGGGGGCTATCTGATGGAGACAGCTCCCTTTCCAGGCAACAGCGCTCATCAACAAACATATAGGGGTGACTTCATGAAGGGCAGGAGGAGCTTAGGGAAGCAGAACCTCAGAAGGAGAACTCATTTCAGTCCCCACTTACCTGTTTCCTGTTTTATACATATAAGAGGAGAGCCTGGCAGGCTGGAGCTGAAGAAACTAAAGAAACACTGAAGATTTTGTTTACTTCTGTTCTTCCCTCCCCACAGGTGGCTGCCTGGATTAATGAGAAGAATAGCATTGCCCAGGATGATAGCTGGAAGGATCCAAGCAATCTGCAGACCAAACTGCAGAGGCACCAGGCTTTCCAAGCAGAGATCATGGCCAATAGAAATCGTCTGGACTCCATCAAATCAGTGAGAGAAGAGGGGTTATGGGCAAGGGGGGCAACTGGTATGAAAGCTTGTGCAGACTGTGAGTTACAGTGATCTCAAACAAGGGAGGGGGAGTCATTGTCCTCTCACTGGCATTGTCCATGTTGTCTCTGAGTATATGGAGAAGCTTATTCTTTTGGTCCATCAAGAATTTTCTGTGTCCATGTGTTTCTTCACTCTCTCTCTTACTATCTAGTGTGAGCTTGCTATGCATATTCACTGTGCATGCAATGGAAACAGATGGGGGCCTGCAATAAAAGATTCAATCCACTGACTTTAGGGACATCTCTCTGGGTGAATGTCACTTCACAGGTATCCTTGTTTATTTCCAGCAGAGACCCTACCTCATTGGATGTACAGCCTTAACAAATCATATAAGATGTATCCAAGAAAAAGGAGAGAGTTTTTAAGTGCTTTTTTTGTAGAGACACGTTAGTAGGCGAGATACGAAGGAAGCCTGACAAGACTTGTCAGATATTTGGCAGAAGTTGTGATCAGATGATAAGTTTGGAAGGACAGACTGTTACATGTTTATTAATTTTATTTTCAGCACGGTGCTTACTAGATGTATTTTGTAATCAATTACTACATTAAAAGCATTGAAAGTTTAATTTAAGATTGCCCATCCAGATGCATCTTAGAAACACCTCCCCTTTTCTTTTTTCCTTTTCTTTTTCAATTTTTATTTTCTTTTCCCTTTTATTTTTTTTTCAAACACTTCCCCCCCCCCCCCCCCCCCATTTGCAGACACAACAATAGAGGGTTAAAGGGTGGAGTTACAATCCTCAGTAAAATTATCTGATTTATCTGATTTTAAATACTTGTTTGCACAATCTCTTTCATATTATTCTATGGTGCCCTGCCTTCTTTGTTGGGAATAGTCCTAGTAGTTGCTCTTTAGAACACCTACTGACCTGGTATAGCAACTTTCACTTGTTGTTCCTCTTGCTTCACTTGCTGTGCAGTTTCTGCCCTAATTTCAGTAACCCTTTTGTCTTTATTAGACTTTTCCCTGTCTCTGCAATCCCTCCATCTGTTATGTTAGGAGGTGAAGGTTGCAGCTGGCCCTTTACATAAGAGTACCAGTAGACTTTGGCTATGGAGGTGAAAGTGATATATTCTGGTGCATTCAGCAAAGGAAAAATACATTGCCTGTTCCTTCTGACATAGGAAGGGGAGAAGATGCTCCATGAAAGGCACTATGCCCCAGAAGCCATTCAGTCCAGACTACAAGAAATGGAAGAGCTATGGGAGGAGCTGCTAGCAAGTTGCCAGGATAAATGGACCAAACTGCAGGATGCTTACAAGGTAATGCCAGTGGTTACAGGGATTCCAGTGGCTGGATCTGGGTGTCTTTTCTAGAGGCAGCACAGCTGCCTTACTACGTCTCACCTACAAGTGTGTCACTTGATACAATCTTGATTCCTCAAGACATTACTGCAAAGAATCTACTTAATGTGGACTGACTGAATGGAATTGGCAGGATAATTGGAGATCCCTGTGGAGGGAAGAGGATTTGTAGGCTGTGCTCCATTCTGCTTTCTGCTGCTGGTTTAGATCCACATTCTAGACAGAGATACTGAGGAAAAATATGTTTACTCATATGTGCCAGCTCTGCATCTGTCTCAAGGGCATCTTTTCTCCAGTATTGAGAAATAAGCTTACAGCTGCTTTTCATTCTTCTAGCTCCAGGCACTTGAATTCTCATGACTGTGAGTTATGCTTGCTTGGACTATCAGAAAATCTGTGGTTATAAAACAGACCTCTCCCTTTAAATGTTCTTTTTTTAAGATGTTATGTCCATGATCTGCATTTGTGCAACACAAGTAAGATAGGCTATTGATGTTTAAGGCGTCTGTTCTTATCTTCACCATGACTGAATTCTCTTCTTAATTTGCACTGCCATTGTGTATGTGAAAAGTTCACTGAGCAGTGGGAAGGTGCCCCATGTTTGTGTGCAATCCTTACTGAAAGTGACTGCGATTTTTACATCACATTATCTGTCCTAAAAGTTTAAGTTATTTTTTTCTTCTTGCTTGTTCTCAGGGTCTTCATTTTCAGCGAAATGTAGAGGACACAGAGAAATGGTTGGAAGGTGTGGAAAATGACCTGAAAGCACCATACAGTGACAATGATCTGGTGGTTTTGAACAGTCATCTGAAAAAACAAGAGGAACTGGAGGAAGACATTGCTGCCCATAGGGACAGGCTGCAAGAGCTTGTGGTCACAGCTCAGCAGTTTCAGAAGGAGAAACATTTCCTTGCTGATGAACTGGAAGAGAAAGTGGATGAACTGGTGCAGAGGTGTGTGAGTGCCTGGCCTGCCTTCTGCCAGCTTTTTTGTTCCCTGAATATTCTTTTTTCTTTCCTTCTCTACTTCATTCCTTATCAATCTGTAGTCCTCACTGGATTATCTTTAAAATTTACAGATACAAAAGGCTACATGATCCTCTGCAGGAGAGGCGGGGCAGTCTGGAGGCAAGCAGACTTCAGTACCAGTTCTTCCGAGATGTTGATGAGGAGTTAGCTTGGGTTCGTGAGAAGCTCCCCGTGGCTTCCTCCAAGGATTATGGCAAATCCCTGGTAACCATTCAGAGTCTACAAGAAAAGCACCAGGTAGGGTCATGTAACAACCACTCACAGTCTTCAGAATCGAACAGAGAACACTGAACTCAATTTGTCTCTAGCAAATTTCATCTGCTGTGCTTTGGCTAACAGGAGTCAGGGATGCCAGGGATCACTTTTATTCCTTTTCTTTAAGGCTGTGTCCATGACTTGGCAACATGCAGGATGTCATTCTGCTTACCATTGCAGTGGTGCAAGTACCATACCACAGGCCTTCTGTGGATATGTTGGTTCTTTCTGTGAACTGAGTTCAAACCCTGGCCTTTTCAATACAAAATAGATTTGACAAACTTGTGCATATTTTCATAGGTTCTTTGGTCCTAACAAAATTCTTTCAAACTCAGTACATCCAAGAAAGCTCATTGCTCAGATGTCTCAGGATGAGCTCCCAGGAAAACATTTTTCCCCAAAATTCTTTATGCTCTGATGGGAGGGAGTTAACAGGGAATTATTATGCTAGCTGACCTTCACTCCAATGGTAGCTGTCAAGACAGCTGCTGAAATATTTCACAAGGTTCAGATGGGTCATCAGAGAAAGCAGTGTCTGGAATACTATCATCTCAAATGCCAATAAATACCTTCCTGATAGTTCTTTAATAAGGACCACAGTCTCTTTGCAAACACAAGGTGGATGAAAAGATATTCCTGCTAAGATTTTCCAGCAGCTATTACTATTTATTAATAATAATATTAGCATAGGACATCACATAGCATATCACATTTGAGTGCCATGTCAAATGCCTTTTGGAGATATCTGTGCAAGCTGCATTAGGATTGGGAAAGATGGGAGATCCTAAAAATTGTCAATGTGTTTGATACACACAGTCAGAAAGAGAGAAAGCCCAAGCATCTGGTACAATCATTGTGAAAGAGTAAGAATGAAAAGCTTGTTTCATCATGGTTAATAGTATAAACATTGTTATGTGTGCAATTACTCCTAAAATTTATGAGCTCATTGGCATGGTAAAAAAGTAATTAAGTTCAAAGAAGAAAAGAATGCTTGAGCTGAATTAATCTGAAAAAATATTTCAAAGAACTGAAGGAACAGAGGAGATACTGCTCTAGGCTATGATTATTTTTTGTTAATTGGTTAAGTCTCAAATTTTTCAACTAACTGTGAGACTGGGAGATATATACCATAAAATCAGTGCATAATAAAATTCTCTGACACTTTACTTACTATTGTTCTGGAAACAGGATAAAAATATAAGCTTTTAACTCCCAACATGTTATTAGCTACAGCCTCTGCACCTTCTTTTTAATGATGGTTTACAAGCAAGCAAATGGCAGAATTAACATAACATAACTGTTGGTTCCACCCTCTGTTGTTTGTCCTAATGAGCCAGCTTTGCAAAATTCAGTCCTTGGTATGTTACCACAAAAGAGATTGTGAGTGAACTGTATTAACCTAAGGAAGGAAAAAAAAAGCTGTCTTGCAAAAGAGCATTTACACACAAATATATTATGCCTTCAAACAGCTGCTTGGCTTGGAATAGATATGGTGTTGCTTTTCAACAACATCTTGAAATCAATAGGGGGAAGTTAAAGGCAAGATTAGAATCAGAGCTTTTTCCAGCCAAGTTTGACACTTGAGTTGAAAAAGCAGCTCCTCTCCTCATAGAGGGCATCTCTTCTACATTCGCAGAGCACTGCAGTCTAACTCTGAACCTCCTTATTCATTGCTATGAAATTAAACAGAACAAGGGTAAAATTGTGGGGCTTATTTGTGCTCCTGGTGCTCAGACACAGTCAAAGAATGTATGTATGCTCACCAAAAAAATCACAGATTGAGCCTTGCCCACCCAGGGGAAAGTATATATAGTTCTAAAATCTACCAGACTTCAAAAATTAATTTCAAGTAAAGTCCTTGAGGTGGTTTTCTTCTCTCCTTGTCCTGTTGGCTGCCTGGCATTCCTGTACCCCCAGTGTTTACAATGCAAAGATGCATCTTCTACAAAAGTACTGGCAAGTGATAAATAATAATGTGCAGGCAAATTGGTCATTCTTCTTTAGACATGTTTTAATTCAAGAAATGCCATATAATGGAATGGAACTGGGTATATTGTGGAATCTACTAACAAGAGATTTGTAATTAGAACCTTTTCCCTCCAGACTCTGAGGTAGATATACATCAAAGTTCAAACTTCATGGCTAAATTTGATTTCTATGATCACTCCTTCACCCCCAAAAAAGTCCTCCACTTCACTTCAAGCATGCACTCAGACTTTGTACTGCTGATCCACTTTTGTGAATAGAAAGCAAATTTATAAAGGAATTGCATGACTGCATTTTATGGAATAAAAATTTGATAACTTCAATTTTTGGTCTATCATTTTACACTTTACTCTTTCCAGAACCTGGAGAATGAGATAAACAGTCGGGATGCTTTGACCAAAGCAGTGATCAGTACAGGACAGAAACTGGTAAGGGGAGGCCACTCAGCCTCTCGCAAGATTATAGAGCAGCTGAAGGAGCTTGAGACTTCTGTAGAGACCTTGAAGGCAGAGGCTCAAGAGAGGAGACAGAGGCTTATGCAGTCCTATGAGGCCCATCTGTTCCTAAATGAGGTAAGGATGGTTCCTGAGAGATTTATTTTGGCCTTTCTTTTCTTAAAACAGCTGACACCTATATTGTTGAATGGATGTAAGTGCTGAGAAAGGAGCAGAATTCACACTGCCCTGATTTTTCATATCTGGTAAATAAGGATACAGTGGAGAAATTACAGTTATCTTCCCAACAAATGGCAGTGAGTAACATGCAACTGCAGTTACTGGATTCTGGGTACACATTTTTTGGAATGGTGTCTGCTAGGAACATATCTAAGGTGCTCTCTGTTTTCACTGATGTGTCAGGGCACCACTGCTTTCAGTTTTCTTTGTCTTGACCTAAATCAAGCTGTGTTAAGGCTCATCCCTGTATTTTATGCAGTTGCTGGAGGTGGAGGCATGGCTGGCAGAGAGGAGTTTCATTCTGGAGACCTCTGATTATGGGAAGAATGAAGAATCCACACAAGTTTTACTTCGTAAACTTGAAGCTACCAAACTGGACATGGATAGTTTCAGGTTGCGGATTGAGAAAGTACAGGAGACAGGAGCCAGCTTAATAAACAAAGACAGTCCAGAGAGGTAGGAAAGTAAAACCAGGTTTCTCCTCCAGGTCTGACAGAAGTGCCCAGAGAAGGCAAATAAAGAAAAGTTCAACTATGTTTGATGGCACATTCAGAAATAAGATTTCAGGGATCATCCATCCCTCCATCATCATCATCTCACACACACTGAGCTCCCCAAAAGCTTGACTGTTGTTTTAATGTTTGCATGATATTTTTTTTTAACAACAGACCAATTAATGCAGATGAGATTCTTTGTCCATTGTCTACTCCCAGGAACTGTCATCTAGTTCTAATTTACCACAAATGGTTCAAAAACCACTGTGCTTGGGAAAGAAAATTAATATTCCTGACAGTTCACTGTTTTTCATTGAAAGTTTGTTTTTATATCTGGGGAGGAGGATGGGAAAAGAGCAGCCATTTTTATGATATACTTTAATTTCCTGAGCTAGTTGGCTTTAATGGCACAGCATAACTCACTCTGTGATTTTATCTGGTTTATTCTGTATTTTAAAGATGTTGCAAATTAAACCTGTCAGAAAAAACAGTGTTTAAAAAAAACAATAAAACAAAGACATACTTTCTGCTTCTTATTCTTTGCAGTTCAGTAATACTTTCAAAGCTCCAGGGGATCCTAGCAGACTATCAGTCTCTCCTACAGAAGTCTGACACCCAGAGAAAACGCCTGCAAGAGCAATTCCAGCTCTATCAGTTTGAAAGAGAATTCCAGCTGGTAGATGCATGGCTCTCCAGTAAACTGTCTGTAGCAGAGTCCGATGACTATGGGCAGGACTTAGATGATGTTGAGGTAAAAGAAAATAAAAGGTATTGCATGTATTGTGTGGCAGAGCAAGGATATATTTGCTGCAATTTTTGTGTAGGTGCTGATGGTGAAGCATGTTACAATATCAAAAACTAAACAGCTGTTATCTCTACAGCAAGAACTCAGACTGGCTTCTGTCTGCTTTGACAAGCTTGCTGAGGTAGCATCCTCCAACAGAAAATTAGATGTATCAGAAAGGTAGCCTTTCTTGGAATAAGGTGAGGTCAGCACGCTCCATTGCTTGCCCTGCTTATAAATTTGACAGGACCTAAAAAATTAGACTGTGGTCAAAATACTGGGCTGAAACATTTATACCTCTTGCTGCTGATTTCAAGGGTAAATTTCTCATTGGGGTACACAGTGCAGAGAGCTATAATTAGTGTCCACTCCTCCTAGGAACTGCTGCATCTATAGACAAGTTCTGGTCATTAGCTTTTGATTTGAGGAACTTCTGCTTGTCAGGATGTGGTTAATTTTTCACTGTGACAGAGAATGTTAAATTATCAAGATAACAGATGTCTTCTTCTGACTCTGGATTGTTTGGCTTTATCAAACAATTTGCACTTGTAGATTGCAGTGCATATCTTTTGTGTTATACTGAGCAGAGAAAGTGATTCCTTCTGCCTCTCTCATGGAGGTAGGCGGAAATTCTTTATCGAAATTTGTGTCCACATTTATTCTGCAGGTGCTGGAGAAAAAGTTTAAAGATTTTGTAAGTGAGATGAAACCTCTGGGACATTCTAAAGTTGTCTCCTTAAATGAGTTAGCATCTAAACTGGATAAGGAAGGCCACAGCAAGATGGATGTTATCCAGAAGAGAACTAAGCAAATCAATGAAATGTGGGAGAAACTATGCAATGCCATTGAGATAAGGACAGAGGTAGGAAATGCATTAAAAAGTCGGGCATTGATTTCCCTGCAGTCGCCCATGCACTTTCTTTCCCCAGCCAGTGCATTGCTCATATTGAAACACTAGGTTTATAGGGGCAATAAGTACATTTTGTTCCATTCTTTCTAGATTCATTTCTCTTTATAGCCACCGCTTACCCTACTGTTCCTGGCAAGGCTTATACTTGAAAGTTCTTATCAGCTCCGGGTAATTGTTTTCCTAAATTCACTGCTAACTCTAGTTTCCTGAGAAACAAAGCCAATCCAACAGTTTACCACCACTAACAGGAATCTGGCTCTGCCACCTATCAGTCTCTTTATGGAACTATTTATGTAACAGTTCACTAAACATGACCAAAATTCTCCAGTTTTTTTGCTGAGTTAATTTCTTGAAATCAAAGTAGGCACATGGAAGAGAATGTGAGGGAGGACACAGAGCCAGCCCCCTAACTTTAGGCAGCAGTTAGGTGTTAAATCTGCTCACTCCCTCTCAGGAAACTGTAGTCACACATATGTATGGAAAAGCAGAGAACTCAAAATTTTTGTTTGTTTTAAAGAGAATATAAAACATCAGATGTCCTCAATCCTTTTTTTCACTATTGTTGCATGACCTGTTGCTTGTGAGGTAGCTCGAGCCTACTATTGTCAGAAATAAATGCCTGACAATTGTTACATAGTCTTGAGTATAAACTAGTATTAGAACATTTTTTAATCCTCTCATTTAAAAAAAGCATTATTTTTGCTCAATTCCTTTTATTTTCACTGTTTAGAGTGTAGAACTTTATTCCAAGAAGTATTTTAAGACAGCTTCTGTGGTGTAGAGAGCTACTTTTAGAGGGCAATTCATGCTCTCCATTTTGATCATTATGTAGGGGGATAAATTGCTCTTTGGAGACATCTGTTTCTTTCCATTGTCCAACAGAACTTGGGGAAATTACGTTAACAGCTCACTTTCAGGTGACTTAATGGGGAAGATGTTTAATTCCCTCACAAAATCCCCAGTGATTTTGTACTGCTTTATGACATATTAGGGTTACCTTTTTTCTTGTTGTAGACGCAAAATGCTGTAGAGTATTACCATTAAATTACTTTATTCCAGAACCTAAGAGCAGCCCATCAGGTTCACCAGTATGACCACGATGTGGATGAAGTAAAGGGCTGGATGCAGGAGAAAGAGGCAGTGGTGGATATAGAAGATTATGGGTATGATCTTCCAGGGGTACAGACACTTCTCAGCCACCTTGAGGGAGTAGAGGTAAGAGGATCTGTGATGAAGCAGTAGCAGAAAAGCATAGATGGCAAAAAAAAAAAGGAGATTGATTCTTGATGGATGCCTCTCAAGGCCTTGCTTGCAAGACAAATTTATTGCACCCTTAAATATTCTTTGTGCCTCAGAAGAGGGCCTTTTCCTCCTGTTTTTAACATTGGGATATTATATTATTAATGTTTTTGCTTTGAAGGATGAACTTCTCTTCTAAAATCTATTCCAAGCTGTTATTAAAATTGCAAAGGTGTCAGCTGAACTGCAGGAAACTTCAGCTCTACATTTACCAAAACAACCAGTCTAAAGACATTGAACCAAAATTCAATGTCTAAAGAAGTTTCTTTTATATTTGATGGTGAACAAGGCATTAAAGGAAAACTGAGAGGCATTCATATTTCCAGCCTCTGTACAGCCAGAGGGTAGAAAATATATGTATCATGGTTAAATCCACTTTTGATAGAACTAAGTAGTGACTTGGCCTTACAATCCATTCTGTCTCCATTCCAGAGAGATCTAGGAGTCATTATGAAAGAGCTGGAACGGATTCGAGGAGACGCTTGGCACCTCAGCCGCACATACCCTCAAGTTAAGGAAAACATCATGGAGAGACTCACAGATGTGGATGAGTGCTGGGAAAACTTGGACAAAAAGTTTCTGGAGAGGAAGGCAAGACTGAGCCAGGCAGAACAAGTCCAGCTCTACTTCAATGACTGCAGGGAGCTGATGTATGTATTGGCCCCTTGAGTTTGGCAGTGGGCCTTATCTCTTGTCTTTCCCATACAGGATTTTCTAAATTATAGCTGTTAGTTATTTGATTCCTGCCCCAGGTGCTCTGCAGCTTGCTTTCAAATATCTTTGAATAATAATCCATGGCATCTCCTCAACAGCACTTCACAGAATTTATCAGCTATCAGAGGTGATCATGATGCCTCAGCACAGTGTGCATGACAAAGACATTTTTTTAGACTAATTCCTAGACAGTCTTGGAGAATTCCGTCCCTGTGGACAAATTTCACAATTTCAATTGAAAATAGTGTTGATTCTGTAGGAAGGTAGGGTTAGATAGTAAAGTAATTTGTGCACCTGCATAGACATGAGTGCCCCTTTTTCTCAGAGTCAAAGCAGCTGCATTAATCTCCTAGAATAGGTAATGAAAAAGATCACCTATGACAGGAGTAGAAATACAGAGACAGTGGAATGGTTACCACTGACTATTGGACATTTACTGTGCTAAGGGATAGATCCTAAGCTCAGGTAAATCATGCATAAGTTTGTGCCAGTTGAGAATTATGGAGTAGAAAATGTTTCTTAAAAAGTATCTATCAATATGCATCTTTTCATGAGTGCTCTTTGTGCACATGAAGTACTCTTATGTGTGGTGGTAAGGTTTTCATGGGCATCTGAAAGTTTCTGTGTTCCTTTACAAAGTATAAAAATACTGTTAAAGTGTGTAGCCTAGGCAATTGCAGTTAGTTCTTTCTGAGAATTTGAACGCACAATGCTTTGGTATCTTTATTTTTAATAGGCTACGTATGGAAACGGCATTGGGAATATTATAAATCCCCCAGATGTTTGAGTAAACCTTCATCAACATTTTTGTATATTGCTGTGGTTTAATCCCCAGTCAGCAGCTAAGTACTTCCACAGCCAAGCCACTCACTCCCCCAGGTTCCCAGTGGGATGGGGAAGAGAATCAGAAATTAAAAACAAGCAAACAAACAAAGAACCAACTCATTTGTTGAGATAAGAACACTCTGGTAATTGAAAAAAAAGTAAAATATAACAATACTGATAATGAAAAAAATATTTTTTTTATGAAAAGGAAAATAACCCTCCCAAAAACTATTGATGCATAATATGATTGCTCATGCACTCACTGGTGCCCAGCCTGTCCCTAAGCAGACATTGGTCCCTCCTGGCCAGCTCTCCAGTTTACATACGGGTATGATGTTCTATGGGGTGGAGTATCCCTTTGGCCCGTTCAGGTCAGCTGTCCTGGCTTTGTTTCCCCCCTGCCTGGCTGTTTGTGCACCTCCTCACTGGGAGAACCTGGGAAACTGAAAACACTTGGCTCAGGGTAAGCACTACTCAGCAACAGCCCAAACAGCAGCGTGCTGTCAACATTATTCTCATACTGAATGCAAAACTCAGCACTGCACCAGTCATTTAGAACAGAATTAATGCTATCCCACGCAAAATCAGGACAATATTAATATCTTTTGTGAGCAAATAAAGGTCTGTATTCATGAATCCACAGCCATGGGATATGTGAATTCCCAAAAGCCCAGCAGACTCAGATTCCTTCCCTTTTTGCCCTTTGTCCCTGTTCTGCAGGGCCTGGGCCAACGAGATGCATGCTCTGGTGATCTCTGAGGAACTGGCAAATGATGTCCTGGGAGCAGAGTTGCTCATCAAGCGCCACGAGGAATACAAGCGTGAGATAGAAAAGCAGTGGCTGAAATATGAAGAAATGCAGCGAGCAGGAGGTGACCTGATGAAGAATGGGCATTTCATGTCTGTAGAGGTGTGTTGAAGAGTTAAATATTTTACCAACAAGAGTGAACAAAGAGGTGAAGCAGGCAAGAGATGCAGCTTTGTGTCTCAGAACAGAAGAACTAAATGGGACAATCATGTTCTTTACTATTAAAAGCTACATATTTCATGCAACACACAGAAAAAGAAAACATATTTTAAAGTTCTTGTGTTACATTACAATGCTATTGCCTTGCATTGCTGATGGCCCTGAGTTCACCAGAAGATATGTAATTCTTCAGAAATGTCCAAAGGGGCAAGAATGTTAAAATTTCCATTATTCTGTGTGTATTTTTAGACTTTGCCCTAGACTTTTTCTAGACTTAGAAATAGCAAGAAAACTTTCCACAGTTGAAATCTCTCCATTGTTACCTTGTCATAAATGCATGTATTTGTTGAATCTCCTGATTCTCACTAGTTTTGTAGTATAAATTGCCTGGGTATAAAGTTTCATATGGGGAAATCATATGGCAGAATATTTGTCATACAGGATGTGGAATATGCCTAAAGTTGTATTATCAAGCTACACAATTTACATGTTAAATTAATTCAAATAGGAAAAAAGAGGACTCGGACATCTTTTCTAAATTATGCTACCACCACAAAATTATCTAGAGATCATCTTCTAAACCATGAAGGCAGATTAGTGACTGTCAGATAGCTGACTGGATTTTTCAACTCCTGGCATTACAAATATTCTTTTTCTAGATTGAAGAAAAACTGTTAGAGCTGTCTGAGTTGATGAAGAAGGTAAAGGAGAGCTGGGACATGAGGAAAGTGTTATATGAAGAAAACTGGGAGATCCAATTGCTCCGCAGAGAGCTTGAACAAGCAGAAGCGTGGCTGGCTGCCAAGGAGAGCTTTCTTTCAGATCCCTCCTATGGGGTGAGTAACAACCCTTCAGCATTCCTGAGCACTGTGTGCCTCTCAGCATATGCAGAGGGCCTGGCTCATGGACCAGCTCAGGCCTGAAATTAATCACAATCTCAACAGCAATGTGCCCTTGAGAGTTGAGAGGGCAGGATCTCTGTCCTCTTGCAGAAGTAAGCCCAGGGCAGTTGCTGCATTTGACATGGTGATGGGCTCCTGGAAGTGGTGGTGTCCAGGGGGTGGTAGAAGCCTGGGAAGAATTCCAGATAATTTTTTCACATAACTTGCAGAAAGTTCAATCTTCCCTGTCTTGCTGAGAGCCTGATTCAAAAGGAAAAAGGGTTTTTCTGCATCTTGTAGGGGGAAAAGGGGGCTTTTCCCACCTTGTTATTCCTATTAAATGGTAGAATGTTTTACACGGGCACCTTTAGAGCTAGCTTATAAATTCCTTTTTGAACACCAGCATCCATATTTTTGTTTGTTTTGCTGGGTTTTTTCTCTCATTTTTGACTGTCTTCTGATGATTTATAAGATGGGAAAACAAAGTCATGAACTTCGGTATCAGAAACTAAGCAGAGGACATAAAAGAAGTCACAGATGCATTTGTTGTAGGGTAGGAACAAACTCTGTGTCTAGCACAAGCCAGAATCCAAGTATTCAATCTGCACCTAAACAGTTACAGCTGGAAGCCATGGTACTACTTGGCCTTGCAGAAAAGATAAGGTTGGTGTTTGAGCCCTTTTCCTCCTGCACAGTAGACAGACTGCAAGATATAGACCTTTTTTTAGAATGTAAATTCAGATTTTTTTCATACACAAATACAGGTTTAGACATCCAATTACAAAATTTTCAGAACCCTCACTTGGCTGAATAGAATGGATCAATCTGAAAATCTTAGGTATAATCTCTTTTGATGGACTTGATTTTGGACTTTTCTATGTGGCAATTTTTCCATTCAGGATTCAGTGTCTGAAGTAGAGGAATTATTGAAGAAACATCATGATTTTGAGAAGATGCTTGCAGCACAGGAGGAGAAATTTGCTCAGCTAAGCAGGAAAACTAAGGTGAGTTGTAGAAGGCTGATGAGCTGTGCAGGAAACAAGATGATGTAGGTTATTGTTTGAATGTCACTCAGTGTAAGAGATGGGTAAATGAGTAACCAAAGCTGAAATATTTCAGACAGAGCAAGACCTGTATGTGGATCAAAAGAGACCAGCTAGCTTGAAAAGGCTGCAGGGGAGAAGTGGAAATTTTCTTCTGCCAGGACCAGCAAAGTGGGTGTGAGAAACAGGGTAATCCTTTGCTACAAAGATGCAGAGATTTTGCTTCATTCAGGATTTCCAGTAGGGAGCTGGAGCCACCTGAAAGTGACAGAGGATAGCAAAGGGCTGAAAATAAATGGAGACCAATGCACATATAGCCCTTTTTCCTTATGGCTTAAGATTTTTACAATGGATTGTGTTAAATACCAAAGATATTCAGTGAGCCTCTCAGATTCTCTTTCAATGTGGGGGAGGTTTTTAAAATTATTGTCCTGAAATAATTATAAAAACACAGTGGTTGTGTTTGGCTTTAGGCTAAAGATTAATCTGTCTTTTGTTCAGTGACTTGCAAATTGGCTGAGGGGACAAAGGTGCTTCCCTCCAAAATTCTCCACAAGAACAACCCCAAATACTCAGTGTTCTTACAGAAAACGTAAAGAAGCAGAGCCAAAAAAGAAGGAGTACAGTTTCTCCTTAGCTTATTAAAAAAAAAAAAAAAGTAGCCTCCAGAGAACGTATTAAGGACAGAATTCACTATATTTGAGGTTAACGGCCACTAGTATTCATGATTTGGACAACAAAATAATGCTTAGCACATAGCAATTAGATTTAGATCTAACTCTAAGAATGCCAGTGGAAGTACAGGCCTTAAGATTCAGTGCCAGGAGGCAGTTTATCTAGAAAACTGCTCCTGCTCAAAAATTAAAAAAAAAATCTTAGGTAAGTATTAATGAATGTATGAAAGCAATTTTAAAAACATTAATACTGCTGTTTTTAAAAAAGTTAATACTGCTGTCCTACAGAGAGAGATGAATCTCCTGAAACAAGTGGACACAGAAGAGAGTGAGCAGAAGGAAAAAGGCAAAGTTGTCCGGGTTCCTTCTCTGAGAAGAAAACCATCTGACAAAAGGAATGCACCGCCCAAAGTGACAGAGACAAAGAGCACAATGCCACTGCCACCTGTGCCCACACACAGCGTGTCATGGAGGGTCCCACTTGAAACTATTTTCTCCCCTATTGAAAAATCTCCAACAAGGTTCCAAGAATTCACTTCCTCAGAAGTCCCTGAAGTGCAAAGCAGCAACAAAACAGAAATGAAAGCTGAGACAAGGCTCGGTGAAATTATCACTCCAGCTACACCAAAGGTGGTGGGCCCACAGGCTGTGTCTTTGGAGAGTTGCAGCTCTTTAGGCTCTCCTTTATCTCCTACTCCTATAAGCCAGCAACACAGCAGCAATTTGTCACAATCACAGGCCACAGACCACAGATCTCCTCAGGAAAAAGGTTCTATAGGCTCCTCTTTCTCCAGCCTGCAGAGCAAACCAACAGCAACACCACCCGAGCCTGGACGCAGGTCGCTAGATAACTTGCCAAACTTACTTCTGTCTAGCTCCTCTTGGGAGAGATTAAAGAACACGTCTTCGGTAAGTCCCAGGAATTTCTGGTTCTCTCCTCACTAGTGGAGAGAAGTGTGCTGGTTAAAGTAAGGCAATAACAGGAAGTTCTGTGTGAAAGTTACAGAAAGCACTATACAATGAGAATTCTGGTGGATACACTCCTGGATTCAAGCAAGAAGCATTTTATGTGCCTTTGCAATTCAAACACTTTCCACAAAGACAGTTGACTTAAGCATCTATGTACAGCTTAAAACTATTTTTAATTTACTAATATTTATAGCCTAGGTCTTAACAACTATATTGGTTTCTGTTTTTCTTTTCCTGAATTAGAGGCTATTCCTGCTGCTGAATACTCAGCAGAGCACTTAAAAACGGATGGTGTCTCACAAAGAGGACGATTTACCTACAGCCTCTGTGTGAGGTGGTAGTGCTTACTGTCCACTCTGTTTAGAAGTCAGAGAGATGCAGGACTTCATGGCACCTTTGTTAAAGAGCTGACCAGATGCAAGACTAGAACCAAAAACTCCTGTTTGTCACCCTGGCAGGAAATTCACTGTTAACTCATTGGCAGATAAAATTGTTTCCTTTTGCTCCTCTATGCTTGAGAGGAGCACGTTTGTCACATACTCAAGTGTACCAGTACAACAATATAAATTGGTGTAACTCAAAAATTGTGGAGGTAGTATGAATAACTTGAACGATTTAAGTTGTAAAATGCATGTAATAATATAAAAATAATATTAGTTAATTAACACACTAAGCTAGAGAAAATTCCATAAGTAAATTGTTTGAGAAGGATTTGAATTCTCTTTATTTAGGTGGTTTATCAAAGATACAATGGCAACCTAATGAAGATTTCCAGCTGTCCTGTCAATGTAAAGTCTAGAGGAACCAGAGATCAGTTTCTTTGCATGGCATTTATCTAAAAAATACCTTTAGAAATTTAATATAGGCCTAAGGGCTGTTTTCAAGTTAAGTAGCAATGTTCTTGTGTGTCTCAGGTTTCTGCAAGTCTCCAAAACATGGAGGGTTTCCTAGAAAAGCGAGACCAGCTCCTTCCACGAAGACAACAGGTAGAAATAAATACCATCACTCTGGGTTATTTCATTGTTCCTTGAGTTACAGTCCAGATCTGGTCTGACTTCTTCAGGATAAGCTCTTGCTGAAGAGGAGCTCAGTAGTGTGGGTTTGCTTCAGTGATCCCTAAAATGCATGAGGAATTGTCCATTGGCTTTGGCAGTACCTGATCTGTCAGAGAAAGGGACAATAGAATTTTTGCCTGTAATGAGAATCACACAGAACAGGGTCCGTCTACAGTTATTGGATTTATAAACCAGAGCCTAGGCTGTATGAGCATGTTGTTTACAGTTTCCTAATTATAAACAGTATATTAACTGGTTTCAATATATCAACCGAATTGGGGGGGAAAAAACCAAATGAAACAACAACAAAAAAAAAATCCCCACACAACAACCAAAAAACAACCACCACACCACAAAAATCCTAAAGCTTCATGATCCTGTAACAGCCTGTGATACTTTGTCAGGAGTGGAAGCCCTCAGCCTCATGCTCTCAAGATTCATAATTTCTAACTGTGCTAGAACAGAATTAAGGTTCTGTTTATCTTTGAAGAATTGGTTTCTTAAATACTGGTTTGAATGAAACTCAAATCTAAATTCTTATCCTGAGAAATAATATCATTTCAAACCAGTAGCCTAATTATCACAACAGGCCAGGAAATTTTCTAATATTCACCACCAATCTATAGACAGCAATTTCTGCTGAGTGTTTGCACATGAACAAATTGTAACAAGATTGTTTGTCCCATAGAGTATTTCCTCTGAAATTTTTAACTTGAAAGGCCTCTTTTAAAAGGTTAATCTGGTGTGGACTCCATCTTCTGGAAGATAAATTTAGTTTTTCTTCACTTCTGGGCACACAGAATTTAGTGTTCATAGATACTGAAATTCCATATTACCCAATAAGAAAAGCTCTGACTTCACCTTTCTCAGAACTGTTTCCTTTCTTTTCTCTGACTGACCAAATTGTCAATTTTATTCACTGTCATAACAAAATATGAATATAAGTTAAGGATCCTTTATCAAGAAGAGTCTCATGGATAAGTTTCAGTGGTACATAGTTGGGGTTGGAAATAGCTGCTAATTTTGCACATTGTTTTCAGTAGCATTCCACTGGGGTTAGTTCAGTAAATGAAGAAGAATTCAGCAGCCACACTAGATAGTAACAACACACTTGATAAAAGCCTGTGACCAGCAGGCAGGGGCTGATGTTCCAACTAGGGGAAAAAAATTGGGTTTTAATGGCCAAAAATTAGATAGAACTTTGATTGTCCACCTTCAGAAATGTTGCTGACCACATGGTGTAGAGCTTGCTTGAACCAGGTTACGTCATTTGTTCAGTTCTGACACATAGAGATCCTTCCTTCCTCCACACAGAAACCACAATAGGTTCTGTTTTTCTAAGAGATAACAATGACTGTGAGAACTTCTGTGATCATAATATCAACAGATTCTGGCATCCTGTGGAAGTTGCATGTGAAAGATTTCACTACTCCTATAAAATATATACCTCACAACTGAATTTTATTACCTTTTCTATTCATGTAGCCACACTCAAGGTCTTGGAAATCCTTCTATGTAAAACTTGATGGATTAAAGCTTGATTTCTATAATGATGACAAAGAAGAAACTAAGGTAATTTGTTTTTTTAATTTTTCTAGCAACCTTTGTGTCTACATATGAAAAAAATAAATTTTAAAATGTCACCTTTGGTTTGGGGCTGGGGTGATCTGTTCCCTTTCAAATGTGAGCTGAGTGAAATTTCAGCGATTATTCAACTCATACAACTGAAAACAAACTGATAAGCTTCCAGAAATTTTCAAACATACTTCTTTTAAGGTATATCTTATTCAAGGATTGCCTTCAAGATGTAATGCAATTGTCCATGGCTCCGCTGTGGTTCTTCCTATCCAGTGATACTAGAATTAAAGCTAGAGACATAAAGAGATGAGTATGCAGTCTGCCTGCAGGTTGGTATGGAATTGAATCCTAGCAGAAAGGACACAGAAGACATTTTGTTTTAATTTTATCCCCCTTCAGAACATATCCACTGTCCTGTCCCTCGACATTTCTGGTGCAAAATGTGAGAAGCTGGTGAATTACACCAGGAAGGAGAATGCCTTCATGCTGAGGTGAGTCTTACAGAGAAGGGCACAAGTAACAGCCCATGCAGCTCCCTGCCCACAGTCACCCAAGGCTGTATGTTGTTAGGAGGCATAACTGGAGTGTCTCACACTCACAAGCATAGAAGGTATAAGGTAAAACTGACTGGAATTCACCTTTTCCTATCCTTATTTACAGGCTGAGAGATGGGGCAGAGTATTTCCTTGCGGCACCTTCTCAGACACTGATGGAGGACTGGCTGCAATCACTACAGAATAATATAGGTATGTTCTCATTTCTTTCAAGAATGAGCTGTGCTTTTAGCAAGTGATGGTAAGAGAAAGAGGAGAGAATGACAAGATGTCCTTAGTTTGGGGCATTTTGAGCCATCCTTTATCCTCTGTTAGAAAGCAATACACAAATCATCTGCTACCTGGGATGTAGTCACCTGGCAGAGGAATGTCCAGAGTGACTTGCAAAGAAGTCTTTCAGTTGTACTGTGGCTAACATCAGGTTATTCTCTGCTAGGGGTGTGGTATTTGTCCTTTTATTAAGGAGCTGCATTGGATCTTGATCAATAGCTTTTCTTCTGAATCTAGATCTCTTCTGGACATCTCTCTACATAGTGGCTTACTGGGAAGGAAGCCATAGGATAATTATAACTATGATGGCCAGAGAAAATTGTTGTGGACCCAGAATTGGGAAATACTCCACATCTAATTTTTTTTTTTTTTTAATTCTGTAGGACATGGTAACAGATCCTATTCTACAGTGATGGCTCAAACTCTCATTTCAAGCACAGAGACATCCCAGAAAAGAATGTGGGATTTTCCAGACAGGGACTCTGCTGAAAGACTAAGCAGCAAAAGCTCACTCCTGAGGTATGGGCTCTGTGCCACAAAGCTGAACACATGTCAGTGCTGTTTGTGCTCAGGTAGCAGTCACCTGCAAAGAGACTGCCCTGAGGTCAAACAGTCCTGCTCCTCTGTCACTAATGTCACAAAAATAATGCAGCCAGCAGGAGCAAGGCAGTGACTGTCCCCCCGTACTTGGCACTGGTGAGTCAACACCTCGAGTGCTTTGTTCAGTCCTGGACTGCTCACTTCAGGAAAGCTGGAGTATGTCCAGAGAACAGCAATGAAGGGTCTGGAGAACAAGTCCTACCAGGAGACCCTGAGGGAGCTGGGGTTGTTGAGACTGGGGAAAGGAGGCTCGGGGGAGACACAGGCAAGGAAAACACAGCTACAGCCAAATTCAGAAACCTGGCCTGTTTAAATAATTTTTCTTGCATTTGAAGTCTGTACAAACCTCACAGACTATGATGTGAAATCTTAGTCCCACAGCTGGGCAGACTTTTGCTGCTGAGCTAGACACTTAATGAGTCCTTACACCTTACATATATAGAGACTTAAACTCCTCTAGATTATACCTGATTTTCTGATGATGCATTTTGTTTGTAGGAGAACACCTTCCTTCAAAATCAAACCAGAGAGAGGGTCTGCAGAATTTTCCAGAGATTTTAAGGTGGACCTACAGTGACACAAGCCACAATCACCACCTTAAGCCTAGAACAGAGTGGAAATAAAACAAAACTGCTTCCCTCTCTACTAAAAGCAGTAAGAGAAAAATAACATTTGCCTCAATGAATTCCAGACACTTATATGTTTTAAGTTAATCACTTCCCTCTGAACTTTTAAAATTATGTATTTAATCTCATAAAATCTTTAAATTAATTAAACAGGATTGCATCTGGTATACTTTTGTGTGTTCATAACTTTGTCATTTGCCATTATTACCCAAGTGTTATCTATTCCAAGATACTAAACCAAAGGGCAGGGGGACCTTTAAGCCAGACTGCTCATATGAAATGATTCTGTGAGAATGGGGAGCAGTGAGTAGAGCATGAGGTGCAAGCTGTGAGTTAACTACAGCCATGTGCAAGTAGATTTGCAGATACCAACAGAATAGATTTACAAGGTTTGGGTGGTCTGTGCAACCAAAGGTAATGTTATGTGCTTCCTACAGCACTTTGTGGTCTCCACAATCTTTTTTTTACAACACATTAACCAAAAATTCTTTGTTTGCCAATTCTTTCTGGATGAAGCTACCAGGAAAAAAAAGTCCTGCAGTGTTACTCATTTTTAATGGAATTTGAAACTTAAATAAGGCATGAACAATCAGTGTTTCAGTGTAAAAGGAGAAGAGAAGTAGGATAGTAAGGAGGAAGTCTAGTCCCCAGACAGCAAGCTTCACATGCTAAGGTATGGTGTAATCATAGGGAAGAATATATACATTTACCTACAACCTCTGTTTCTGAGCCAAGGAAAAGTTACCTAGCATGAAGCTGGAGAGAAATGGCATTTTTTCCCCCAGGACAGTGTAGTGACTGGCAGCTCTTCCCTGACTTGTGGAAGCTAAAATTTCAAGTCTTTAACTCCTCTCACAAGGACTTCTGCCTTCATCCCTTTTAATACACACTGAAGCATCACTCTTGCTCTCTGCTTGCAATCCTCTCCTCTGCACTGACTACTTCTCCAGTGGTAAGGGAGGGGAGCACTTTACACTGAGTTTATGTAAATACTTTATGGGCACATGCACCATCTAGAGTTTGTATTCAGTCTGATTCAGATCAGTCACAGGCATCCAATACATGAGCTAATAATTTCATCTTTTTGGCTAGTTCATCTCTCTCCTCTGTTTGCCCCAGCTGGAGCTGCTGCCTGTCACGAAATACAAAAAGCCCAGCACATCAAAGTAATGGGAAACATATGCATTTCATTATTGTTGACCATTCTTAACTGATTAAAAAAAAAAAAAAAAAACAAAAAAAACATTTTCAGTATTTTAAACTTACCATTTAATTGAACAAATATGTGCCTTGGCTGTGGCTCAATACAGCTGCCTCCTTGCCCTGCTTTTTACCATTCCACTGAAAAAGGTAGAAGGTTTTACCACAGGAGGTAGCTTTTATTCCAGGTTCTCCAGGTTCTCATTGTAAGCCAGAAAATATTCTCCCATATTTCTTCCATTCAATCTTGAAACCAGTGAATGCCCTGTGAAGTTCTCAGCAGGCATTTAGCGTAAGTAGAGCATATACACCTGGAAAAAGCCTTGTTTTGTGCTTAAGTGCATAAAGACTTTCATGGGTCTGGTGCTCTTTTTCAATATTTTATTTTTAATTAATATATTATTAAACACTTAAAAGACACAAGCAAGCAATTTCTATGAAGAGCAGGTAATAGTTATAAGAACAGTCTCATTTCCTTTGTGTTTGGCAGCAGATAGCAAGCTCTGTATTTTTGGGGGTTTTCCAGCAAAACGTTCATCCAAGAGCAGTGATCTGGGGTGCATTTCAGATAAGGTTTTTGGCAGGCATGCATCCATCTTCAGTGGTTAAGTGAACACAACACCAGACCAGCAAGGCCTGGTTTATAAGTATGGCACATGCCTTTTTTGATGAGATGCAGAGAAAAGCAGCTTTCTCCTGGAAGTGCCTGCTTTGGTTTGCATGCACTCTGTTCAGTCACAGCACAATACATGGTATTAGGCCAGGCAAGAATGGGGCCAAGGGAAAAAACAAAACCACAGCCTCTGAGGAACAACCACACAGCATTTCAGAGGCCCTTAGACTCCATGTTTACCCTAAGGGGAACAAGGACCAGTCCTAAGCACAGGTAACTATCAGCCTTATGCCACTGAAACAATACCTTATATTTCTGTGGTCTGGGGGCAGTGCAAATCAGCATGTTCTGAACTACAGTTCACAAGTGCTTTGAGGGACAACCTGTGCCAGCCACCACTTCCCACAAGCTGCACAGACAAGACTGTACAAGGTGTAGGTCCCTCCAGCCTGCAGAATTCTCCAGCAGCCTCTGTCCTCACAAATGTCCTCCAGGTCCTCCTACTACACCATCAAGCCAGCAACACACTCCTTCAATGTCATAGATTCATAGAATCATTTAGGTTGGACCATCCAGTCCAACTGTTAACTCAGCACTGCCACGTCCACCACTAAACAGTGTTCCCATATGCCACACCCACATCATGTCACAAAAACAAAAAAGGCAACCAAACTGAAATAAAAAGGCACTCCGATAGGCAATGATACAGCCCTCACATAATTTCAGGCTCTGAAATGCAAAAATATATTTCAAAAAAAGCTATTATAATTTAAGGCTACAGAGGTACCACGTAGGGCACCAAGGAAATGAAGGGGCACATACCTGTCTGTGCCTCTGGGTGCAAGATTAGACAGCAGTTCCCAACCTGATTTTAAGAGTTGGCAAAACCTCTGGACAGTTCTCCCAGCAGAGTCACACCACCTTCCCCACCCACAGCTCCCTCCCTCCCACGCTCCCTTTGTAACAGGATTTAACAATCCCTCAGAACAGTAATTCCCCACCAGCTGTGGGTTACCTGAAAACCTTGTGGGTTTGTGGCACCTTCACATTTTACTGGGCTTTTCTGTTTGTATTAGCAGGACTATGAATGCACCAAACATGCCCCAATTATTAGTCTGTGGAGCATTTTGAAAGACCAAATTTTCTCAGTGTGGCTGAGCTGCCTTGCTGCTGGGTACGTGCTAGCAAGGTTCACAAGGGTTACAAATTGTTCTCTGTAGCCCATGGACACAGCAGCCATATCTTTTTGCAGCAGCAGAGCTTTCTAGGACCAGCCAGAGGAGCACGGAAATGCTGCACACCCTGTGCACATGTGTGCACAGAGCCATGTGGGCTTGTAGGTGCCCCGGAGAGCTCCACCAGGACATGCTGCTCTCCTGTGCAAAGGTAACAGATCCAGCTGGATCAACTCCCAACTCAAAATGGCTCTTTATGTTTTGTGTTGTAGCTAGGATCCGATTAGTTCTTAACTTCTCCTGACCTGAATCCCTAGGTACAGCTTCATTCCAGCTGTTGACTTCTCAGTTCTGGATGGTGTTCCTTACCTCAGCAAGTAAGCATTGTACATGAATTGCTGGGCCTTAGCCATTGCCATTGCAGCAGAAGCAGCATTTAGTAGATGCAGGCTTCAGACAATGAGTCTCTTGTAAATGCTCTCCCTTTGAGTTTAAATATTGTCTGTGTATACCAAAAAGATATACCCCTCTTCCTTGTTCTTTTTCTGATTTTGGATTTCAAGTACAACTAATTCTAGATTTCAAATGAATTTCCAATGCAGAAGAAATATGTAAGATTTTTCTTGGAAGTCCTGATGAATATGCTGCATTTGGAAAAAATAATCCAGAAGCAGGTCCAAATTCTTCAGTGTAAGGAAGTCTGCAAACTTCTCCAGCTTCTGTGAAGCTCTGTTTTATATTGCTCAGCATCCTTCCCTATGATCTTTTTAATCTAGTGGAGGGCTATAAAGATGTTCCAAGCTTCTAGCTCAAGGCAAAGTCTTTCACTGCATTCCAAAGCGAATGAAAACCAGGTGTCATTTTCCAAATATTTTCCACCAGCAAGAGGAAAATGAGTGTCCTATTTTTTTAAATTTGTGCTCTATTTTATGTAGCACCTATTAAAAATACTTCGTCTGTGATGTTAGAGACAGAATACTATAAAGGGAAAAATCTTCTGTGTGTGAAAATACAATGGCTCTGCACTGTGTTAGTGAGTTATGTTGTTCTACATTAAGTTTACATCTGGAAGGAGAACCAGCTTTAGTGATCAGTCAGGATCACTATATTAAATGTACTTGAGTCTATGGCAATTATTCCTCTCAAGCTTCTGCTATGAAAAATTCAATTCAGGCTCTTGACATTTTAATCCATAAAGGCACTGCTGATATAAATCAATACAATTGCATGTGTTTTATTTAGAATTTTTCCTGCAGCCAATGCTCGAAAGAACTGTGCTCACTCACTGCTGCTACTGCCCTCTCTTTTGAAATGTAACCACCCCCTCGGTGGTAGTCTGGAGCAGCATTTCTGTGCCAAAGTCTTGCAGGGGAATGGAAAAAAGGAGTAACTTCTACATCAGCAGGGGGAATAGGCCAGACAGAGTGCAATTGTCCACACTGCAGTTTGGCTGCTTTTCACATATATATGCCTGACTTCAAAGCTGAGCCCACCAATTCAGCACAAATTCTAGTTGCTCAGCCTATCTGAAAATATGGACATCACTGAATGTAAATGGCCAGGACTTGATCTGTAATCAAGTATTGAAAGGACATTAATAATGGGCTCAGGGTTGAAGGGACAGGCTCATACAAAAACTATCACCACCACCACCATATACTGTAACATCAAGAAGATCCTGGGATGTCCCTGCTAACCAGGACCCTTATTTCTTAACAAATAAGACCACATTGTGAGACTTTTGTGGGATGAAAATGTGGGGGAAGGAGATAAAATAAATGCTTCTGAAAGCTGGGAGCTTGAACACAGCAAGGTGAGAAATGTACAGGTTTCATCAGTTTTCTGCAAACGATGAACACTGTGATATGTTGCAACATGACTGTGATGTGTTGCAATGTGCTGCCATAGCCTTCAGTGGGGAACAGTGCAAAAACCCAGCTTAGGGGTATCCAGAGTAGCTGGAGAAATTCCCAGTCCTTCTGCTTCTCCTTCGTTCTACAGCACTCCTGAT